CACATATTTATACGTAACCAAGTCCTGTACTGGTCAGATGTGTTTCCAGTTTTTGGTGTAAGTTGTCCGATTCGTTATCCAGAGCTTCAATGGTGAAATGGATCTGTCTCACCTTCTCATTCAGAAGCTGGCGTTGTGCTTTCTCTAGGATTATATCGGCTCTGTGTCCTTTCACCGCGTAAATGTAGGCTGTTGGGTATGATTTTGTGTTGTCGGCATCTCAGGTTAAAGCTTGGTTTCTGTAGTCTGCAATTTTCCTGGCTATCCATTCAGGGAGTAGTTTCTGTGATTCCTGGCCTAATAGATGCGTCTCCTGCAGGAAATCAGGGAACAATATCTTGCATTTGCTGAAGAGGCTTTTCAGTGAAGATTTTGGAGTAGTCAGTAAACCCCATTATATTATGCCCGTTCCAGGTAACCTTCCCCTTTACGCGCAGCATCAACAATGTGTTCCACAATGTGCAAACCCAGTAACTCCCATCAGCTGTTAGCTGTAAACACACTGGAGGAGTAGTGTTGTGGTATGGCTGTGTTAATGATATGGCACAACGTCACTGCACTGTAATAACGTTAGGCTTTATTAAATGCCACATAATTAACAAAAAGCTATTTAACACCAAGACCAAAACTTCTGGATGCAAGTATGTTTAAATACTTTTAGTATGACTATAAATCCCAATCTAAAACTCATTCAGTATAAAACTCTCCACAGAACACACTATACAGGACAAAGGATGTTCAGAATGGGTCTTATGCAGTCAAACATGAACTGCTCAGGTAACATCTCTGATAGTTACATGCATGCTGTGTTGCTATGCGCACCTGTCCAAATGTTCTGGCAGAGACTGATAAGTGAAGACCTATCAATTTGGCTAAGGTACACCTTCCCAGTTTCCCCTCACTCTGCGTGCTGGGGGGCGTAGGCCCCCTGATGTGGGGGCATGCTGACATGTTGGCCGTCGGCCTGCTCATGTCTAGGTGGGTGGCGTGTCGGTTGGCCTGGGGTGGGGCTGCTACCGCTGCCACCTGCCGGCTGTCCCATGGCGAGGGCATGCTGTTGTTCCAGATGCGCACAGCCGATGTTGTCGCACTGCTTATTGGCCTGCTCCATTTGTGGTGGCTGTCTGGGGGGTTGGGGCCCTCGTCCAGGGTCTGGGCAGAGCTTGGGCTGGCATCTGGTTGGGCTGGGGAGCTGTCACCCCTGGTTCTCCCCATGCTCTCTGCCATTCTCAGCATTGCTGTGCTGGGCCTACAGCCATGCTACTGCCTCTGTCAGTGTGTACTTTGGCATAGTGCTTTGAGCTAAATACTAACATCAGCATGCTAATAATAATAATCAATTATTTAGCTGACACAAAAGTGACTTACAATTGCTACATATGTCATAGGTCTCACTTCTCTGGAGCAACTAGTGGAAAAAAACACATTGTTGGGAATCAAACTCAGGTCTCCCAAAGCAAAGGCATGTTATCCACTGCTCCATCACCACCCCTTGCTAAACATGTTCACAATGACAATATTATGCTGATGTTTAGCAGGTTTATTGTCCACCATCTTGTTGTGAATGTTAGCATTTGAATTTCTTATCTTGTACAATTTATCCTCAGGGGGACATGAATGTGTGCATAAAATTTCATAACAATCTATCCAATAGTTGTTGGCACATATCACTCAAAAATACACAAATATGAACCTCATGGTGGCACTACAGGTTGAGTCCACAAAATCAGTGGGATACATTATAAAGTGATATCTTGAGTGAGATCAACCAGTTAGAAGACAGTTTATGACATGGGGTAATTAATGTTCAACTCTCCTGGTGCAGCTCGACAAGTAATGTCGTGTAAAAAATTCAAGACTTGAACTTTTACCAACATTTTTATTATCAACAAAAACAGACACCAATTAGAATACAAAAGTTCCACCGGAGTGTGTCAGAGATCGGTGCAAAATAGAGCCCCATTCTGTTACCAGAACAGAGACCCGAGCTGACATGAAAACCATGTAACGACTGACTTTCACCTCCTTTTATAGCTCTGTTTCTTGGCTTCACATCATCTCTTGGCTTTCTTTCCTACTGCACCTGGATCTGGGAAAGTCCCAGAAAGTCCCTGACTGCGCTGCTCCTCCTCTCTGTGTCCTTTGCATGCCCTCCGCTGATCATACTATTTCATCCATAACCTGACTTTGTGGAATAAACTGGTGTTGTTTGTAATACAACTTTCACAAAATCTGCCTCTGCATTTTCCTTTGCAGGTGTTTTTGATGCAGCCTTGCTATCTTACTGTGCTCCCTCACTCTGCTCCCAAAGCACACATGCTTGCTCACACACACACATGTGCTACTGCTGAGCCTGGGCAGAAAGGAGAACACACACTCAGAACTATAGAGTTTTAACACTGTGATCCTAACTTTACACTATAAAATAACACTTTAAATGATGAAAATGTAGACCACCATTGCTCTAGTAATTAATGATTGCAATTTAGGCTATAATGCTCTAAAATTATTCACAACATAATGTCAAAGTAATGTCACTGCAGCCCAAGCACATGAGCCAACTTCGATCTCTTATTGAGTCTACAAATAATTTTCCTTTCACAATGCCTACTTCGTAAAGACTCAGTATTTTGGTTTGGGAGATTTCTCAGTTTTCTTGAGATCTTAAGTTAGTTTATGTCATTATCTAGAAATAACAAATGTTGTTTTCCCAAGATAACCAAATAATTTCTTAGGGCTTCCGTACACACCAACATAGGTTTACTTACTTTTTAATGTACTAACTCCAGACTTGGAGGCTTATTAGAAAGTGAGTGATAAATGTTTCATGGCAGGGCTGTGACACTGACAGTAAACTCACTGTAACCCAATGTCAGAGTAGTGATTTGCCATGAGGTTGCCATGGTAACGACTTGTCAATCATAGATAATCCCGCCCTGAAGCATACTCTGCTTTATGGTCCTAAACTCAGTGTGAAACTGTTCACTGAGGTAATAAATCAGCTGAGAAGTACGGTCTCCTATCTGAACTCTGTGAAGCATTTATGTGGGCTCTAATCTTAGCTGCTGTTAATTTGCATTTTCTGAGTCTGGTAACTCTAATGAATCCTCTGCAGGAGAGGTAACTCTTACATAGAACATGGAACTATGGATTGCTTTTGGGGGAGCTCAGTTTTTTTCCCGTGACGGGGAGGAGAGGCACCAACTGTGATTCTTACTGCTGAATCATTAATAGCTGCAAGCATGTAGGCCTGGGGCTGACTGTTAAAGTATCAGGCATGTTTGTCCTATTATAATAATAATGATAATTTTTATTATCATATGTAGCCATTTTGCTACAATTACGCTTCACACAACAGCTGCGGCTGTGTTTGCAACCTGACCTTTCTTTTCTCCATGAGAGGGGAGAATTTAGAAAGTTGCATGGCGCTGGGGGAACCCCAGCTGCAGTATTAGGGCTACATGGAAAATGCATAATATTCATCCAGCCAGAGGGAACGATCACGAACCGTTCACAGCGTGTTGGTCGTACTAGCAGCACAACCCGTACTGGAGAGGGAGTGGGCTGGACCAGGGACAGGAGATCGTGGAGCGACTGGCCCACTGCGTACAGTCAGGTGATAGTTCCCTCTGGCTGGATGAAGTCTGACGCTCTGTATAATCCATGATGACAGAGAAATATAGAGATTAATGGCAATAAAGCAAGATGTGAATATTTTGATCTTTGAGTTCAGCTCATGATGACTGGGGGCAAAAACAAAAATGTAGCGTATTTATAATTTTGTTCAGTATAATATATTGAATTCTCTCTGTAATGTAATGTTATAACTTTAGAAGCTTTTCAGGTTTAAAGATGTATTGATTCCCTCCATCTACTCAAGTATTCCTGCCAAGATCTTTAACTGTGTTCATGATGATTTGGGCTGAGAGTGGGTCTGTTTTACTAAGCTTTCACTTATGTCACTGTGTGTAATAAGAAAAACAGAAAAAGGCTCACATTTTACAAACGTGTATTGTACATCAAGAAGGATACGTTTCTCTGGGAAAACATCTGTGTACTTTCTGTGTTGAAGTTGCTGACAAAAGCTTCATGTGTAGATTGACAGCGACAACAGTAAATCATATCAACATTGTGACAAATAGGGTTTATATGGAGGTGGGATCTTTAAAAATATGGGATAACAGCCAATGGACATTTATGTTTTGAGTATAAAGTTTATGCTTGGGTACCTGCTTCTTCAGACAAAGCAGCAGTTTCTTGTATACTCGCCATCAACATTATGCACATTGTACTGTGCACATAGTATGTGCTTTGGCTGTTGTCTCACTGACACTACCTTGCATTGCAGGAACCCAGCACTGTAGCTTTGTCCAAATTAAGCACATTATGCAAAAGAATATTTACTTAATTTTGCATGATATGAGTACATGTTGTTCAGTATATTGATGGCAGCGTGCTGCGTGTTGCAAAACAGTAAAACAACTTGCTCTGTCTACCAGCAACTCTCCAGGAAGTTAGCTCCCAGCCAAGAGATAGTCTGGCACATAAAACCCAATAACACTTATTAACTTATCTGTTTTAACATTTCAGTTTTTGTGTGGCTGCTGGTTGTAGCTAACATATACAGTGGCCCGCCTACTAATCTAACTCTGGACAAGAAAGTAAATAGGTGCAATGTGTGTCCCAAAATGTTGATCTGTTGCTTTACGATTTGGAGAGTTCTTGTGGAACCATGAATTTACCCCCATAATGACAACATCTACAGTTCGCCTCTGTCAGGACCCTGCCTTTCTTTCACTTTGTACCACTCTAATGTTAAATAGTCTAGTCTAGTGTAATCTGTTTGTGCTTTAGATCAGCAGAACTACATGTGCCGGCTGTGTGTAGTTGATGGTAAATGTCATATCTCTGTGTTGATCTTTTGAAAAAGTTTATTGAAATCAATCTTTAGATGGCAATTTTAAGAAATTAAATTTTTTATTGAAAAAAGTTATGGAATAACCTTGTTCTACTAGTTTTACTATCCTTCTGGTACGTTTATGGTGTTAAACAATAAACAATATATTTTACAGTAAAGTGTGTCTCTTTACATACAACACTCAACATAGAGTGGGTTAATAGATTCTGTTAAGCTGAACTAAAACAACTAGAGCTTAAGAAATGAACACTGAGGTGGGGAAATATCATAGACATGTTACGAATACACACTGTGTGTAGTTATCAAGATGTCCTTAAAGGCACTGCTGCTCTGTGGACAACTCTTAAAGAAACACCTACAAACAGTGACCCACAATAACAAAACATTCAATTATACACGTATACATGTTGTATAAAATACATCTGTAACAGGAAATACAGTACAGTTGACTATATTGACATTGTAGGTGTGAGTGCCTCAATTCTGATACAACACAGTACTGTTGTCAAGATATAATTGAACTGACCAGATGTAGACATTATTCAGAAATTGGTTGCCAAAAACATGTAAATACTGTAAATGTCTGTATAGTATAGTCTTTGTGCTAGCGGTTACTGAGTTTCATCAAGTGTCAAATTTGATATTAAGTCAATTAAATCTTTAAAACTACCAATAAAACAGTATGACCACTGTTAGTGGTCTGGGGGAAATCTGATGATAAGAATGTTTTAATGATGAGACAAAATCCTGAATAATAGAATATAATAGAAAAAAATGATATCATTTTCAAAAGTGTACAGGTGCAGATTGGTTCATCTCACATCATATTAGAGTAAGTACTCAGGGTAGTTAGAAAGGTGAATGTGACGGCTTGCAATCAAGACCTCTTTCACATGAACGTGCTTAGAGCTGGAATGGAAAGATCAGATTTAACTGAGCCAGTTGATAACCAGCTTTGTGTTACTGGTTCACCCAGAATCGCCAATGTTGGGTTCAGTGAAGACAGGTAAACCAAAGAGACCAAGCTGGACTTGCTTTGTGACACATGCCCCTGGTTTTCCAGAGTAAGCCTGGAGAACAACTATCCAACAATAAAAGGAAAAGTGAAAATAAAATGATTTGCATTTGGGGTGCAAAGTTGAACCAGTCTTTTGATGCTTCTGTCAGTTGGTATTGGTTTTTAGTGGTTACACACCCCATAGCAGATATAAGTAGTTGTCCAAAATGATCAGACAGCTAGTACATGTGCAGCAGTTCAGAATTGAGCAGGACCACCTACAGTGTGAACGTAGCCTGAGAGACAGGGAGGAGGTCCAGGTCTACTCTCCATCATGTCCTTCACCTGCAGCAGTTTACAGAGTGTGACCACAGCAGCAGCTGCTGGCCTGAACTCTGGTTAAACAGTAAAGCGTGCGTCATTAGTCCATTCTTTTCCTCAGTGACGCTGATAGAGCGTGTTGGCTTTGCATACACCCTTTTCTCCAAACACAGTCTGTTATGTGTAGACGCAGGAATTCCTGCAGTTAGCTTCAGTCTCAAAGTTGTTTGCATTGCCCTGACAGCCTCCATACCAGAACTGTGCGCAGGCATTGGCCTCGGGGTCATAGTACCACTTGACTACGTACTGTCGACAGGGACCTGGGTCCAGAGGCTGACTGCACCCTTCATCTGAAAGGACAAAAAGGGTGCAATGAGTGAATTGTTAGGCTTGGATTAAATAAATTACTGCGTTTGACTATTTCAACATGTGGCAGGTCATTTGTTTAACCTGCGTTGTGCTGATACTAGCATGGACAAAAAAACTAACACCATCTAACATCTGGCTTTTGTCTTCAGTGGGAAAGGGTGCAATTTGTGACTCTGCAGTAGTACAGGTATGGATCAGCTCCAGCTCTGATTGGCGGTGATGGAAACATGACACCCAGACGGACATGATCATTTTTGCCCCATTTTGGCGCGACTCATCCATATTTATGTAGTATTAGCATGCTAGGCTAACTCTTTCACAAACAAAGTAAACACACGCAGTTTACCCAGATAAAGTTCAAACAGAGACATCTGACAACCTGGTTTCCATTTGCAAATCATCAAACCATTTACATTTACTCATTTGGCAGACGCTTTTATCCAAAGCGACTTACATTTGAGGAACAACATACAATAATTAACAGAGCATAAAATACAGCACAAGATCTACAACTGACAATACATATTAATAAAAGCAGCAATAAATACTAGTAAGCGCTAATGGCACATATCGCATCAATGGGGTAAATACCTTGGGAAAGAAGTTAGAGTTAACAAAAAAGTGCAATCAATACAAGATAACTGTAGGGGGATAGAAGAAGAAGAGCACAGGAAGTGCATGTTAGAGGTTAGGAGTTAGAGGTGTTATAAGAGGAAGTGTTCTCAGAAGAGATGAGTTTTCAAGAGCTTCTTGAAGTTAGAGAGGGACGCCCCTGCTCTGATGGCGTCTGGTATCTCGTTCCGCCATCGTGGTGTCACAGATGCGAACACCCGGGACTGGGACTGCTTTGTGTGAAGGGACAGCAGAGCCAGGCGGCGTTCGTTGGAGGAGCGTAGTGGCCGAGAAGGAACGTAAGTTTGTATTATGGAGTTTAGGTAGATGGGTGCAGACCCAGTAGTCACTCTGTATGCAGCATTAGTGACTTGATTCTGATTCTGGAGGCCACGGGGAGCCAGTGGAGGACACTGAGTAATGGAGTGACATGAGTCCTTTTGGGCTGATCAAAAACCAGACGCGTTGCTGCATTCTGAACCATTTGTAAGGGTTTCACCGCACAAGCTGGGAGACCTGCTAAGAGGGCATTGCAATAGTCGAGGTGAGAGATAACCATGGCCTGTACCAGAAGCTGGGTGGCGTACTGAGTGAGGTAGGGCCTGATTTTCCTTATGTTGTATAGAGCAAAGCATGACCGTGAGACAGCAGCAACATGGTCTGAAAAGTACAGCTGGTCATCAATCATGACACCCACGTTTCTCACCACCCTGGTTGGAGTGATGGTTGAGGAGTCAATTTGTAGTTTGATGTTATGGTGGATAGATTGCTTGGCTGGAATGACCAAGAGTTCAGTCTTAGACAGGTTAAGTTGGCAAGCCTTCATCCATGCAGATATGTCCAAGAGACAGTCCGTGATCCAGCACGAGACGGTGGGATCTTCTGGCGGGAAGGTAGGTAGAGTTGTTCCACTGTGTATTGTGTATTGTTCCACTCAATTGGTCAACAAGTGTGATATGCAGAAATAATGAAACATGTATTGTTGCTTTTTGAAGGATGATGTTGCTGCCCGTGTTGTAGTTGTCTCTCTGTCTGGGACTTGAGTGCTTTTTGGATCTGATCTAATTATTCTTGGGTTCCTTTTGCATTGGGTCTCTTTTTGGGGGAAAAATATTTTATGCGTGTCAGATTTGGGTACGGATCTGTTTTAAGTCCAAAGTGCTGGATCTGTGAAGACCATGACTTTGCTACATTTTAAATGGCCAGTAAAAATATGGTAGGCTATCTAATAATAATGAAATTATATTAATAATTATTTGTGTTAATCATTTAAAGATTAAAATTATTAAAAGTGTTTCCTTACAGCAGTTAATTGCTTTTCCAACCCTATTGGCTAGATGTCATATCATATTAACACTCTTCCCCTGCTTCCTACAACAGCTGGCGTAAATACATTCTTTTCGTATTAAATTTGAAAAGACAAGAGTTTCCTTCACAGAGTCTCATGTATCTTCTTTATCAAAAGTTGACAAAGACTGTACAAGTCCGCTGCCTAATTTGATTTTATACCTACCTGGCTTTGCCCGTTTAAAACTAATTAAAACATGCGTAAACTTAGAATACATGCATCTATACGTTCATGCATTAACACACAGCTGCTGGTTGCTGTCAAAAAATTTTTTTTTTTTAAACACAGAAGTGTTTCAATTTGCATTACAGAAAGAATTACTTCAGATTCTTTACTTAAAGTGAAAGTTAAAAGTTGCAATACCACACTATAAAAGTACTCCATTTCAAGTTAAAGCCCTGCATTGATATTTTTACAGACCTGGAAACAAAATGCTAACTTAGAAGTATTTTTTTTTAAAAGTATTTATGTCTCCTTTGAGCGTTATATGATGATCATAATTGATGCAATAATAATGCTTTTATTTTATAACAATGCTTTATATTTTATAAACTGAGGGTATGTTTCATGTGTAAAATCTGGATCTGAAAAGTATGTATAACTATAGCTGTCAGATAAAGGAAGTGGAGGTATTTAAATTCCAAAAGGGTAAGCATGTTTTGTTTTGAATGGTGTGTTTGGTTGCTAATTAGTAAGTTAATAACAAGTTGATTATTTGAGAATGGTTGGCAGCAAGATTTATTAATAAAAACAAACACAAGATGTGACAAACAACAACTCAAGATCATCTTTTTGGCTTTGGTACAGCAAGCAATCAAGTGTCATTCAAACCATCAGTGGTATTCATCAGATGTTGTTTTTCTTGTTTACCTGGCACCGAAGAGTCTGTCAGGGATGGTGGAGGGCGGCTCATAGGAGCCTGTTTGCTCTCTGCCTCATACAGCCAGTCAGGTGGAATCTGAGGACCCACCATGGAGGTCACACCAGGGCCCTGCTGCCCCCTGCCACCAGGAGAGGCAAATGTGATGTCTGGCAGCTCGTTCCAAGGCTCCACAAACAGTTTAGTATAAACCGGGTTCTTGTGGGCCCGACGTGACTCCTGGGACTGTGGAGTCGGGGCTGTTACTGTTTCCACTGGGAGTTCAATCTGGGAAATAAAGAAGTTCAAATCAGACACACTTATAGTTCAAGCTGTCACAGTCATGAGTTAACTGTGTGTCTTAGCATAACTTGTATAGCACGCGGGTGATGTTTGTGTTGGTAAAGCAGTTGTCTGGTTGTTGGTCGTTTTGGAGAGCGGAAGTCGGCAGGTGGACGTGGTGGAGCAAGGAGGAGTTGTACGGTTTGGAGGGCAATTCAAATTACTTTTCTGACACACTAACCTTACATGGTGACTGGTATTTGACATCTCAACTTGGCATGCCCTGTGAGAGCTAGGATTGTGATCTGTTAGAAGCAGCAGATAGGTCTCCCCGACAGGGGAGGGCCATGCCGCTGAAAGGGAAGCTAAGTGAAGGAGGGGGGAGTAATGATGAAAATCCCAGGCAAACTGAAAAAAAAGATGGGACAATGGGACTAACACCAACAATGGGAGTGGGAGTGACGATTCCCAAAGCATGAGGAAAATGTCAAGGTTTGAAGAGGAGGGTGGATTTAAGCTAAAGTTAAAGTTAAATTTAAAGTAAATAAGAGTGACAAGGCCTTAAATCCTCTCAGAATGGGAAAAGTTCTAAAACTTAAAATGATGATGAATGGAAATATACTTGTTTTCTGCGGAAATGATACTCAGAGGTCGAATGCCCTTAAAGTTCGCCATCTGCTCAACAGGCCTATAGAATGTTTCATACCAGATCAAGCTAAAAACAGGAAGGAGCGATATACGTAAGCCCTGAGATAGCAGAGAGTGCCATCTTGAAGAATTCAAAGGGAGCTGAGATTGAAGCAGTACGGAGATTCAAAGAATCTGGCATTGCTGTGCTGTTAACATTCAAGCAAGATATTGTGCCAACAAGAGTCAGTCTCTGGTCTCTAACTGAATGTTAGAGGCCAGTCCAGAAGATCTGACGTTATTAAAGTGGTGGTGGATGCTGCAGAGAGATTTCTGAAAGAGGTATATCTGGGTCCTGAAGAGCTGCACAAGTATATGAGGCAGAAACTGCAAGTTTATGAAAGAGGGAGGGGAAAAGGAAAGAACACAGATAAAAGTGAGGAGTGTACTGGGGAAAGAAGCATGGAAGTAAATTATGATAGTTAAATTGCTGATATTTTACATCTTATAATGGAATGCACGGAGTTTGGTGGCTAATGGGGAGGAATTTAAGAGATTTGTAGAATATTTACCACAGGTGATTTGTATTCAAGAAACTTGCCTTAAACAATGCTTAGATTTTGTGATTCCTGGATACAAAAGTGTCAGATATGATAAAAACGGAAAATCTGGGGGAGGGTGTGCAACATTTATAAGGTCAGATGTACAATACCAGAAAGTAGAAATCAAGTCTAATCTAGATCTATATCTTTGGGGACAGCACAGGTGGATTAACATAGTAAACCTTTATAATCCAATGTTTACAAATAAATTTAAATGAGTTGGAGAGGGTTATGAAACAAATAGGGACCCCAGTCATTTGGGTGGAGGATTTTAACTCCCACAACCCTCCTTGGGGTAGTAGAATAAAGAATACTAATGTTAACACTACAGAGGAATTTATGGACAGGTGGAGATTAGTTTGTTTAAATGATGGCCCACCAACTAGATTCGATATTAGAACAGTAAATGTACTGTTGTAATAGACTTAGCATTAGCATCCAGTGGAATAGCAAGGGTTGGAGAGTGGGATTTTTTGGACAGATATACAATAAAAGTGAGAACAGGGCAGCCAAAAAGTCTTTAATGATTTTTTTCTGAAAGGTGTAATGTCACATGTTGGGGTGGAAGGGAATGAGGTGGCAGACAAGGCAGCAAAAATTGCTCTGAAAAGAAACACTGATTTAGCAGTTTGTGGATCTGGTCTGTCATTAAGGAAAACATTACAGCAGTGTGACTGGGACAGACTGGGACACTGAGGACTTGCATTGGACCTGACAAAGATGGGCAAACATAAGGATGGACTCTGTAGAACCTGAACAGTCTGTTAAACGTGTTTATGGAATGTCAACAGTGCAAAAGGCAAAGAGAACAACTAAACCCTGTGCTATCAGGAGTTGGAATACAGACAGTTACATTGAGACACATTTTGAATCCTCATGAGAACCAATTGAGGATAGTGGAAGCAGTCATGGACTTTATATCTGCAACAGGATTACCCCTCTGAGAATGGTGATGCCATAAAACGACACTGAGACTGAACTGTGAGAGGCAGCAATATGCCTCAGGTCTAGTCTGCTGGAAAGCCAGAAGAAGAAGAAGAAGATGTTTTTGGTCTGATGTTTGCTGTATGACACACTATGAATTTCCGAAAGGACTAATAAATATCTATCATCTATCACTGCACACATTCCGTTACTGGGGGGGGGGGGGGGGGGGGGGGTGCTGCCGCCGCCAAGCAGAAGTACTTCTTAAACGATGCATTGATGAATTGATGAAATGATCTGTAGAAGCTTCGACTACTAAATCATCATTAGCTGCAGTCCTACTATTGACAATGTCCACATGCACTCACGCTACACATCAGTCTTTTCAAGCAGTGAAGAACATATGCAAAACTGATTAACATTAACTCGCTGAGCGAATCAACACCGCCCAGCTGATGCAACACCGGAGAACACAGTGATAGTGATCAAGTGAACGCGCTCTGTGTTGTGAGTCCAGACAGTTGTGACAGAGTGGTAACATAACATCTAAAATCATTCAAACTAATAACTGGGGGTGGGCAAAAAAATCGATACAGATATAATATATCGTTATACTTTCTTCCACGATACTGTATCGATATTCCAACCCATCATATCGATACATAAAAATAAGAAAAATTAGCACTTTGACGGTTAGCTCAATGCTAACATATAATGGGAATTTCCATTAACTTTGGTGACCACGTTCTCTTTTTCCCCGACATGTCCTTTTTTTTGGGAGTCACAAATGCAACTGGTTGGGATTTCTAAATCGCCCAAAATGTCCATGATTAGGCTATTATCTGCATTCATTGTGTGCGTTTTAGCATTGCTTTGACCGGTACCGGCACTATTACATTTTAGTCTTTGGCATACCGGAACTTTTTCTTGCGTACCAGCACTTCTCACAAGCTTGTAATCTTGTCTGCATCTGACTCCCGCTCTTCTGGTAACAGCAGGTCGAAGGCTTTGTCCAGAGAGTGGGTGGGACACCACACCTCCTTGTCCTGAACAGAAAAGTTATCCGCCTCTTCGGGGGAGAGAAGGGCGCAGAACAGCATAGCGATGTATCATTTCAGGATTGTCTAGCAATATATCGATTATCACAGAATTGCTGTATCGTGATATTATTGGTATTGTGAGCCATGTATTGTGAATTGTATCGTATGTTGAAGTACCCTGTGATTCCAACCTTTATAGGAGACAGTGTCTGTCTGTCTGTTATCAGACTCGACTCGACTTGACATATTCGTAACCGAAAGACAGAGGTCAACAGTATTTGATAAAGTAAGTTTAATTTTTCAAAATGAGACTAAAGCAGAATTACTTGTATGTTTTCCTCATCTGGGAACTCTGTGGAGTGGCTGTCTTCAGGAGCCTCTGGGTGGGTTTCCATGGGTGGAAAGACAGCGTTTGGCAGAAGTGCCACTGCGTCATCCTGCTCACAAATCCGACTCAGTATTTTGCTTTCCAGATCTGTATGAAAATGAACAAAGAAGGGAACATGACATGTTTATTGCTAGTTTCGTCTCCCTTGACTAATTCTCAAGTGACCCTATGAACTGAATACCACAAGGACAACAAACTTAAACAATCCCTGCTCCTGTCACTGTTCATAACACAGCATTACAGGGATACAACATGTAAATAAGATCTTTAAAAGGAAAATCTAGAGATATTATTGACAGACTTTGTCACTCTGGCTTTTTTTCTGTCTGGAATAAACAGAACCAGAGTTTTTAGTACTATAGTTTCCATCATTCTTTCTCAGTGATTTGTTTAGCTTGTGTTTCTTTACAATTCGTGCTTGCATATTAATCATGTATTTGCAGAATAATAAAATAATGAGACAAGATCTGAAGTTATAAGGTATAAGTTCTTTGATAAATGTGTCAGCATGTTAACAGTGAACAGTGTGGTGGCTGAATATGTGAGACAACACTGTTTGCTTACTGGTAAGTGACCTGAAGTCATCTATGAGGTAGACGTGCTCTTCATCAGGATCCGAGGCGATTACATTCATCTCAGCCTGGAACTCTTCATACAGGTGGTCAGTCTTGTTTACGACTCCTATAACAAACATCTCGGTCCCCTGTGCATGGGCCTCTGCTGCTGTATCTTTAAACTGCATGATGTCCCGGGGGTCAGCCTGCCCGTCCGTTAAAACCACAGCCACTTTCCTCACACCAGGCCGTGCGGCCTGAAACAGCTGATTGGCACGATGGATGGCGCTGCCAGTGAAGGTACCTTCACCCAGGTAAGGCATCTTCCTGATGGCGGCCTTCACATCATCCTGGCTGGACTGCTGCTGCAAACTTACTACCACCATGTCTACGTGGCTGTAAAGCACCACACCGATCCGACTGGCTTCTCGGCTCACAGACACCCGGTCAATAAGAGTGTTCACAAAGTCCTTCACCAACTCAAAGTTTTCTGGTCCCACACTCTCAGAGCTGTCTATCACAAACACCAGCTCCAGAGGGCTCTCTCTGCACTTCAGACCACAGCCTGGGCAACAAATGTAAGAGGTACACTCAGCTATCGCACATTTCAAAGCATTTTCCATTTATTGGGACTGCATTTTATCATAAGATGTTATGAATATTTTGTCGACTTAATTTAGATTTAGTAGACATTAGTTCCTAACTATGCAACACAAAAAAAGTCTGCCAGTGACTGAGGATTATATAGCTATAAAATGCTGATAAAACAAATAATTTACCACAGATTTCCCTTATAATCCTGATGACCTCTTCTCTCTGTGTACAAAAAAAGAAGACGAAAAAGGTCTTAAATTTTTATGTTAAGAGATTAAGCTCAGTATTATTTGTGTCAGTCCCTTTACTCACAGTCAGTCCTGGTTCCCCCTTTTCTCCTGGTCTCCCCTGTAAAATTAAACTCAAATTAGAAAGTATAATGAATAAATAGTGTTGGGCTAATCTCTTTAGGACAAGTGCGTGGTGATTCATTAGAAACTATGGAGTGTCAGGTCTTATTTTCTTGAAAGCAAGTTTTTGCCTGCTAGTTTCTACAGCAGAGCTCCTAGAGACCTTCAAGCCCTGTATTTATCAGGTGTCTCAGAATTGCTCCAAGAAATCGTACTGAAAGTCAATTATCAGTCTCAGTCAGTTATCTCAGATTTTTCCATAACAGCTGAAAAAGAAAATGTCAAATGACGTGTGTTTCCATCCACAAACATTATATGGATATTAGAAGGTGGTTCATTGACATAAATGGTGGTGCAAATTCTCCATTCAGGTACACGGTACAAGGATTAGTTATTTTGTCACAGTACAAGGTTATACAGTGAAATTGAGTTTGTAACTCCCTTCTGCTACATAGCAGACAATATACATTAATATAAAACCAATTATAAAAATGGTAAAAACAAATAAACTATATTCAGTGGAGCAGTGCTGAGGATGAATAAGAGTTTCAGAGTCTTGATAGTTTGGGGAAAAAGCTGCTCTGCAGTCTGGTGGTGTGGCAGCTGAAACTTCTATATCTCTTCCCAGAAGGCAGCAGGGTGAACAGGCTGTGGCTGGGTAGGTACTGTCCTTTAGTATCCTTTGGGCTCTGCAGACACCTCACCTCACCGATATCACTGACCTGAGATGGGTACCAATGATCTTCAGAGCAGTTTGAATCACCCGCTGCAGAGCCCTCCGGTCCTGGGCCGTGCACATCCCATGGCAGTTAGTGATGTTTCCAGTCAGGATGCTTTCTATTGCTCCTCTGTAAAAGTTAACAAGAACTTGGCGTGGGAATTTGGACTTCTTAAGCTTCCTCAAGAAATACAGTCATTTCTAAACTTTCTTCACCAGCATGGAGATGTGAGACGACCATGTCAGGTTCTCTGTGATGGTGATTCCCAGGAACCTGAAACTGTGTGGAGTGTGTGTCTATATCTCCTCCTTCCTAAAATCAATGATCTGCTCCTTGGTTTTGCTGACGTTGAGCAGTAGGTTGTTCTCTGAGCACCACTCTGCAAGATTATGAATTTCCTCCTGATATGAAGTCTCATTGTTTGAAATCCGGACGATGATGGTGGTGGTGTTGTCCGCAAACTTCACAACAGAGTTCTCTCCATGTCGGGGGATGCAGTCGTGGGTGTGCAGTGTGAACAGGAGGGGGCTGAACACACGGCCCTGGGGGGCTCCTGTGTTGAGCACTAGAGTGGAGGAGGTGAGTCCGCCAATCCGAACTGACTGGGGTCTGTTTGTGAGGAAGTCCAATATCCATATAATACCTGTGGTCCTCCATTTGTCCAAATTTCACTTCTCTTACTTCTAACAAACTAGACTACTACTACTTCTACTTCTTCTACATACGTATTCAGTGTAGTGACGAAATGTGCTCTGTAGAACAGTTTGTCCATTTGGGTTACTGTAGAAACATGGCAGAGCAACATAGCAACTTCCATGTGTGATGGAAATAATTTCCATTTCACATGACAGGGGACCCGCAGTGTATAGGTAGAAATGGCTCATTCTAAGTTGGATAACTATGACCTGGATGACTGAGAATCTTCATAGACATCGGCTCATTCTAAGGTAATAAAAACATATTGGTTCATTATGTAAGGTATTTATACACCACTGGAAACATAGTTATGTATATTATATTCCATTTCTGTCAATAGATCCTCCAAAATATTACACACTGGACCTAATGGAATGCACTGCTTTCTACCAAAGTGTCTTTTGTGTTACTACCACTAGGAGGCACCAAAGTCAGAAATGTCGAAATCCTACAAATATCAAAGGAACGTTAAAATCAAGGGCAACTGGACTAGGTTGAAGAAACTCAAACATTTCGCCTCCCATTACTGAAGTAGCCTCTCGGTGAAATGCCCTTGATTCTAACCGTCTTTGGATGACTATGACCTTGATGGCTGCAAACTCCCTACAAATAGGGACTTTAAGAATAGGTATAGAATCTAATTAGTAATCAGTTTTGGACCAGTCGATACTCGGCCTGAAAAGGCTGAAATATGCATTATTCCAAACCTGGAAATGAACACCAAAACCGGGAAGTTCCATTTTACATGAAAGGAAGAAGACATCAGTGCCTAAAAGAAGAACTGCGCCCCAAAACAAATGAAAAAGAAATTCACAGGCAACTATGATCATCACAGACCTTTTGAGGAACAGTTTAGGAGACCATGAGGCATTTGAAGTGGTGACATGCTATGTTACCATCAGTCCAGTAGAGCCAGGTTCTCCATAGTCCCCCTTTTCTCCTTTCTTTCCCCGGTCTCCAGGAATGCCTCTATCACCCTGTGTGTGTCAAAGCATTATAGCAAATTTGGAGAACTGGTAATGAGAGGCAATATGTAATGCAACCATCGGTACAGGCAGTATTGTTTGTACCTTCTCCCCTGGAAGGCCATCCCCTGGCGCCCCCCGAGGGCCCATTGGGCCCTGAAACCCAGGTTCACCCTAAGAATAAAGATGGATGAACTGGTAAACATGATAAAGGTATCATCAGCATATAGACTTATCTTACGGACAGTGGTCATCCTTGCAGAACAAGAGAATGGATCAACATGGTCAGCTGTAGCTGGGTGCTGAATCCCCAAAAACAAGTACATAACCAATTCTTGGTGAACGACAAGTTTTTTATTGCCAACCTTTGGTCCCTGGATGCCCTCTCCTGGAGGCCCTGGCAGACCTGGTGGACCAGGCTGTCCTGTAGAACCCTAGAAATACAATTCATTACAGCAATTGTCAGAAAAAATGGTTTATAAAAACAATAGAAATTGTTTCAATTTCTTCATACTGTATACACACACTGACCTTTGGTCCATAAAGTCCAATTCCAGGAGGACCTGATGGCCCCAGCACCCCTGGTATGCCTCTGTCACCCTGACCCACAAATCAGACAAACTCGGACTAAGAATCCTTTCCACTACTTCTCCATCTTATACAGCCCACAAATGATTTTGTTTTTTCCATTTCCATTTCTGTCTTTTAATGTCCAGTCCGTATCACCGACAATATAAGTCAACAGTCTCCTAACAGTCTTCTAATCAGATCACATGGCCTACCATACAGGTGTGTCTCAGAAAATTTGAATATTTTTTTCTGTAATTTCTCATCTCGTAATGTAGCTAAGTGTCTCATCACATCCCTTACAGGTTTAACTCAGCAAATTTTTTATTTTTTCCCCGTAATTTAAGTCGAAACATGACACTTCATATATTCTAGATTCATTTCATATAAAGTGAAATATTTCCATTTTTAACCATGATGATTACAGCTTACAGCTCATTGAAATCAAAAATCCATAACTCAAAATATTTGAATATTAGTATAAAGACTACAAAAATATTGACCTTCTGAAAAGTTAAACAGTTCTAAAAAAGGTTAATTTATGCACTAAGCACTTGGTGGGGGCTCCTTTTGCACACGTGACTTAATCAATGCAATGTGGCATGAAGGCAATCAGACTGTGCCTGCTGAGGTGTTATGGAAGCCCAGGTTGCTTTGAAAGCTGCCTTCAGCTCATCTGTATTGCTGGGTCTGGTGTCTCTCATTTTCCTCTTTACAACACAGTTCAGGTCAGGGGAGTTGGCTGGCCAATCAAGAAGAGTAATACAATGGTCAGCAAACCAGTCATTAGTGGTTTTGGCCCTGTAGGCAGGTGCCAAGTCCTGCTGGAAAAGGAAATCAGCATCTCCAAGAAGCTTGTCAGCAGATGGAAACATGAAGTGCTCTAAATCTCCTGGTAGACGGTTACATTGACACTGTACTTAATAAAACACAGGGACCAACACCAGCAGATGACATGGCACCATAAATCATTACTGACAGGAAATTTGACACTACATTTCAAGCAGCTTGGATTCTGTGCCTCTCCAGTTGTCCTCCAGACTCTAAAACCTGGATTTCGAAATTAAATGCTACTTTCATCTGAAAAGAAGACTTTGGAGCAACGTCCAGTTCTTTTTCACCTTAGCCCAGGAAAGACGCTTCTGACGTTGTCTCTTGTTCAGGAGTGACTGGACACTAGGAATGAAACATTTCTAGCTCATTTCCTGGACACATCTGTGCCTGGTGGCCCTTGATGCATTGACTCGGGCCTCAGTCCACTCCATGTGAAGCTCTCCCAAGTTCTTGAATTGGTTATTCTTGACAATTCTCTCAAGGCTGCGGTCATCCTGTTGCTTATGCACCTTTTCCTACCACACTTTAACCTTCCAGTCAACTTTCCATGAATATGCTTTGATCCAACAATTTGTGAACAGCCAGCCCTTTCATCTTCTGTGGCTTACCCTCCTTGTGGAGGGTGTCAGTGAGTGTCTTCTGGACACCTGTCAAGTCAGAAGACTTCCCCATGATTGTGGTTCTGTGTACTGAACCAGACTGAAAGATGAAAAGCTCTTCTCAGGTCAACATTTCTGTATTATACATTCTTTATTCTAATCAGTGTTGGGAGTAATTGCGTTACAAAAGTAACGCACAAAAGTAACGCAATTACAGTAATGTATTGCTTTTTGCTGTAACACAGTAATATAAGGCATTACTAAATAAAAATCGGTAATATTATACCCGTAACAATCTCAGTAACACGTGTTACAACACACTTTAACTCGAAATTAAGTGATGTTTGTTTTTTTTAACAATACACCATTTGTCACCAGAAAAACAAATCCAAAGAGGTAAAAGAGTGACGTTACTTCCTGTTCTGGGAATCAGATGGTCGAAAAATGTAGGCATGGTGCAAACTACGGGGGAGCTCCGCTCCTCTCAACAAGATGGTAGCTCCCCTGATGGATCATGCGTAAATAGATTTCTACAGGCTGTGTGTTTGTGCTTTAACAAATTTCTTTAATGATCAGAGAGGCTGCTGTCAGCTCATCCTGACCGATCCTGTCGGATTGTCCGGAGATTCAAATAATCAGTGACTTTATGTTGCTGTACCTCCTGCGTAAATGCGCACAGTGTCTTTCTTAATGGGGACACAGTTTATCCTATTTCACCCATCCACCCTAGCCCACACCCCTGCTACTTATCAGAAGGTTAATTTTTATGACAAAGACTCGATCCCCGATCCGTGGATAGCTCTGCACATCACTAGAACCCACAGATCTTACCATCAGAAGAATGCGCCCATTAAACAACAGTTTAAGTAACGCAAAAGTAGTTTAAAGCATTACAATTCAGAGACAGTAATATTGTAATATAACTAATTACTTTCAAATGACAGTAACTAGTAATCTATAATGCATCACATTTTGGAAGTAACTTGCCCAACACTGATTCTAATATTCTAATATTTTGAGATTTGGCTTTTTGACTTTCGCCCTGCGATGGACTGGCGACCTGTCCAGGGTGTACCCCGCCTTTCGCCAAATGTAAACTGGGACTGGCTCCAGCCCCCCCGCGACCCTGTGCACAGGATAAGCAGTTGACGATGGATGGATGTTTGATTTCCCAGAGCTGCAAGCTGTAATCATCAAGAATAAAACAAAAAACAGCCAGAAACATTTCAGTTTATATGAAATGAATCTAAAATATATGAAAGTTTCACTCTTTGAATTAAATTACAGGGGGAAAAAACTTTTCATGATATTCTAATTTTCTGAGATGCTCCTTTTTATTTACACGTCTGCAGTTCTTCCCCATTTTTTGTGCTTTTGGTCTGGTTTGATTGAAAGTAGCTTAGATGTGTTTGCTGTTAATAACATCTGAATACCCTCAAGCAAAATTTTCTTTTCGCAAATGTATGATTTTTTTCTCATAAATTTACCACTTTAACCTCAGAGCATATTCACATTTGTTTATCATACATTTGCAACATTAATCTCAGCCGTTCTTAATTTTTTTTTTCAGAACATTCTCAGGTTTTGTTTGTTTTTACCTACAAACACTACAGTTCTCCTGAGCTTGAATGTCCCTCTGAGGACTTTCCCTCACTTGATGACTTAATGAAGTAACACTAGTGCTCCACCTTGGGTCCAGGTAGTCCTTTCCCTTCAGGCCCCATCTCTCCTTGCACTCCTGGTAAACCAGGCAGCCCCTAATGATGAAGTAAGATGTTCATTTACAAACCCTTCTTTCTTATGCATTGAATATGAGATAATACAATTATACCCCCGTTTCCCTGTCACCTGTGGTCCTGGGAAGCCATCTCCCTTCATTCCTGGTGGCCCCACAGGTCCATGATTTCCTTTGTTACCCTGAAGGAGGAACAGGAGAACAGTGAAAATAATGAGAGGGACAAAGACAGTAGGAAAATGCTGTTGTTTGTACATATTAGCATAAAATCATTTTGACCTGCAGGTTTGTATATTGCAAACATACGGTAATGTGGTATGACTGTGACCTGAAAAATCCACACATTACATTATTAAAGAAATAGCATTTTTTTGCCTTTATATGATAGAAACAGCTGCAGAGAGAGACAGGAAAGGTGGGACACAGAAACAGGATGGCATGCAGCAAAGGGCCCTGAGGGAACTGAGCACTAAGAAAGATGTTTTAAAAATATGTGCCATCAGCTAGTATAACACTTCCACACAGTGCACTGAGGTGTGATAAATTGATAGAGTGATTAATTTCTGAGTTAGTGTTACCTTCGGCCCAGTGATTCCTACTCCAGGTTCTCCAATAGGTCCAGCTGGTCCTACAGGCCCAGGATCTCCCTGTTATTTGGACAAGTGAACAACAAGCTCACAATTGTTTATATTAATGCATTCTGACTGGCTCATAATATAAACAAAACTGTTTATTTATTTAGACACTTCCAAATTGTCTTTTGTGTTATATATCAGTTGTAGTACCTCATCCCTTGTGTTTTCATTTGTTTCCCCCTTCCTTGTGTTTCCTGTCTGTTCTGTACGTCTCTCTGTGTTTGTCTGTGGCGTGGCCAAGAGTTCTGACACTATGACAATATCGGAGGACTTTACACTATGTAACGTGCGTTTGACTTCAAACTCCTTGTGTTTCTGTGTAAAGCACCAAATTAGCATAACACTGCTTCACTGTGTAAACTTGACACTGTGTAAACTTGACAATGCCTTGAGGCTGATACAAGAGAAGTGAGTAAGGCAGGAAAAGAGAACAACTCACCCCTCCTGCTCAGGTGGCAACAGCTGACTGGGATACTTACTGGGATAGTTTTTAACCAGGGCGTAGAATTCCACGTCCATATGGGACTGGTATCATACAGTCCAGATGACTGGGATGACCTTGCCCAAGCCATTAGTTTGTTGTTGAGGGTACATGATAATCATCACCAACCTTTTTCTTTTTCTTTATTTCTCATGCAGATTATCATTATCACATCCTCACTATTTACAGATTTAAAAATGGCCTTCATAAATGTGGATATTTGTGTGAAAGCATTATACCCCACTCTCATAAAATACCTGCTTATGTGAGGTGGGGAATGGGGGGTGATAATTAATAAGCTAGAATCAGAGAATGTTTCTTAAAAAATGACTCTGGGGTGATAGGGGCAGCTGTGGCTCAGGAGATAGAGCGGGTTGCCCCCAATGGCTGTACCATTGGCGTGACAATGTCAGTTTCTGTTTGAGCACAAGGCTCAATTGGTGAATGTGATGTAGTGTAAAAGCGCTTTGAGTGGTCAAAAGACTAGAAAGTATATTTAGCTGTGTGCCTAGATTATTTTAAAGAGGTGGTATTATGCTCATTTTCAGGTTCAAAATCTTAATTAGGGGTTGTACTACAACAGGTTTACATGGTTTAATTTTCACAAAACACCATATTTTTCTCATCCTGCACATTGCTACAGCTCCTCTTTTCACCCTGTGTTGTACGCTCCGCTCTTAAGCTACAGAGTGATGCATCTTACTTGTACAAAATCTTTGTTGGGAGTTGCACATGCGCAGTTCCCTGGTAAGGACTACTAGCCAATCAGAAGCAGAGAAGGGCGGGTCGTAAGAAACAAGGTGGTGTGATCCAAATCACACTACCTATTTTCATGAGGTAAGAAACCCCCCCCCCCCTCTGTTTTTTACACAAATCGCACCCTGGGTACATGTACAACATTTCTACAATGGAAAACCAAACAAAGGCGAGCTGGTACTGTGCAGTGGAAAAGGGGCTTCACTAAAATCAAAGGGCCTCCGCTCAGACTAGCTTGGTTTGAGGGCGTGCCTGACCCCGCTAGCTGCTCGGCAAGCTTTATGATGCGTTTTCATTGTGATGTCACAAGTAAAGGAAGTGAAGGGCTGGACTACAAACGAGCTGTTTTCAGGCAGTTCAGAGCAGAGTTTTCTGTGGGAGATGGGAACTCCCTTCGGGCTGGACTTTGGGCTTTTTCACTTTGCAAACCTATTACATGCACAAAAAAGAGAAATAAGTCAATAAAGGAGAGGGGAAAAGCCAAAAAGCAGAATACCACCTCTTTACGTAGCTGTGGCCATCATTCCCAATCGCACATTATTACACATAACTTAATTTCTGAATTTATTTGTTTTGGGGTTTTTGTATGTATAAATTACTTGGGTTCTTACCACAATCTGGTGAAAATGTAACATCAATAGCACCTTTAGAAATTTTTTACCGAGAAAAATGGTGATGTGTTCAATACATATTTTACCTGCTGTACTTGCTGAGATTGCTCAACAGCATCTGGACAGGACCACTGCTTTAAATTAATTTGGCTTACTTTCTCACACAAATGAAAGCAAAGGTCAAACTGGAAGTGAGTCTAAGTGTGTAATGGATATTTACAGCAGACAAACTGAATAATCATTTTAACACTTTCTCTTCCGAATAAGGTCGGTGAAGATGTGTTTTTATTGATTTATTGATTGATTGTCACGCTAGCAAAATCACTCATCCTTTGATCACAGCAATGAGGTTGATGAGTAATTGTTATTATAACTGGCTTTTTGTAGAGTGCTCCCATGTATCTCCTGAGTTTGTGTTTCATTTTTTGTGAATGACCTGGCTGTGCTGATACCGGACTCCGGTATTTGGATCACTGCTACACCACAGTTAGCAGTGCCTATACGCGCTCCACTGGGTCACTCTGATCACGTGATGGTCCATCTGATTCACGCTTACAGGCAAAAACTAAAGCTCTGTAAACTCGTAACTCGTTAAAGTACAGGTTTAGCAGGGAGGTGCGAGAAGCTAAACGACTGTAGTCAGAGAGACTAAAGAACCAGTTCTCTGCAAACGACGCCACTTCTGTCTGGAGGGGGTTCAGACAGATCACAAACTATAAACCCAAAGTCCCCCACTCCATAAACGATTCTCGCCTGGCAAATGAGCTGAACCAGTTCTACTGCCGCTTTGAGAGTCGATCAGACACCATCCTCTGTGACTCCTCCGCTCAGCTTCAGCCTTGGTCCACCACTTCTTCCCCTCCCTCCTCAGAGCTGGCCAGGTCCACCCCCTCCCCTCCTCTCTCCATCACAGAGAGGGAAGACAACGGTCTTTTCAGGAGGCAGAAACCCTGCAAAGCAGCTGGGCCGGACTCTGTCTCCACATCCACCCTGAAGCACTGTGCTGATCAGCTGTCTCTGGTGTTCACAGACATTTTTAACACCTCACTGGAGTCATGCCATGTGCCAGCCTGCTTCAAAGTCTCCAGCACCATCCCTGTCCCCAAGAAACCAAGGGCCACTGGACTAAACGACTACAGACCCGTCGCCCTGACATCTGTGGTTATGAAGTCCTTTGAACGCCTAGTGTTGTCCCACCTAAAATCCATTACAGACCCACTCCTGGACCCCCTGCAGTTCGCCTACAGAGCCAACAGGTCTGTAGATGATGCAGTAAACATGGCCCTTCACTACATCCTCCAGCATCTGGACTCTCCAGGAACCTACGCCAGGATCCTGTTTGTGGATTTCAGCTCTGCTTTTAAAACCATCATCCTGGTCCTGCTTCAGGACACGCTCTCTCAGCTGAACGAGCCTGACTCCACCTGCAGGTGGATCACTGACGGACAGGAAGCAGCACGTGAAGCTGGGAAAACCTGTCTCTGATTCCAAGACCATCAGCACCGGTTCTCCTCAGGGCTGTGTTCTTTCCCCCCTTCTCTTCTCCCAGTACACCAACAGCTGCACCTCCAGTCACCAGTCTGTCAAGCTCCTGAAGTTTGCGGACGACACCACCCTCATTGGGCTCATCTCAGGTAGGGATGAGTCCACCTACAGGTGGGAGATCGACCATCTGGTGACCTGGTGCAGCCAGAACAGTCTGGAGCTCAACGCTCAGAAGACAGTGTAGATGGTCGTGGACTTCAGAAAGAGCCCAGCCCCACCCTCCCCCATCATCCTGTGTGACTCCCCAGTCACCACTGTGGACTCCTTCCGCTTCCTGGGCACCATCATCTCCCAGGACCTCAAGTGGGAGCTGAACATCACCTCCCTCACCAAGAAGGCCCAGCAGAGGATGTACTTCCTGCGGCAGCTGTAGAAGTTCAGCCTGCCAAAGAAAATAGTGGTGCACTTCTACACCGCCATCATTGAGTCCATCCTCACCTCCTCCATCACCATCTGGTACGCTGCTGCTACTGCCAGGGACAAGGGCAGGCTGCAGCGCATCATTCACTCTGCAGAGAAGGTGATTGGCTGCAGTCTTCCTTCTCTTCTGGACCTGCACACCTCGAGGACTCTGAGACGTGCAGGAAAGATTTCAGACTCTCCCCTCTGGCAGGAGGCTGCGGTCCATCAGGACCAAAACCTCTCGCCACAAAAACAGTTTCTTCCCGTCTGCAGCTAGCCTCATTAACAAGGCCCGGGTCCCCCACTGACCCCCCCCCCCCCCCGCAAACGATACAAATGTCTCTGCACATGTAAATACTGTTTCATCTCGTCGTGCACAGACCTGGCACATTGCACATATTTGTTGTTGATTGTTGATCTTTGTTGTTGTATATTTTTATGTTGTCAGTTTATATATTTATATGTACACAATATTCTCTTCCATTGCGTTACTTCTGCACGGCACAGACCCAGAATAATGCTCATGTATATATCTGCAACGTTGTTCTTCCATTCCATATTTATTATATTTCTACATTTATTTATGTTGACTGTATGTCTGCGTGTAGCACCTTATCACCACAGCAAATTCCTCGTATGTGTAAAACACTACTTGGCAATAAAGCTCCTTCTGATTCCTTCCTTCTGAATGCAAATTAGCAGGACCAAGCTTGTCAGTCAGGGTGTGTGTTTAAGCATGTATGCGTGTGTGTGTCATCACCTTTGATCCTTGTAAACCTCGGCCAGCAGGTCCAGGTAGGCCCACCATTCCTGGGCTGCCAGGCTCTCCCTGGATAAAAAAGTCAGTAAAATGTCAGACATTAAGTGTTTGTGTCAGGACCATGCAAGCAGAGCTAACATGTTATGTCTTTTCTCAAACACATCACAAAAGCCTTTGTCTCAGGAGCTGACCATTTGAATGCAAGTATTTGATAAAGGTTTACATGCAGTGCTTGAAGTATATGCAGTACCAGCACTTTTTACTCTACATTTTACTCTGGCTTACTGGCACTTCTCACAAGCTGCCGGTAGGCCTACTCTTTGCTGCCCTCTCCATATCAGGTTCTCTGACTCACTCTGTGACACTCATCTGTTCCCGTTCTCTCATGCCTGCTGATCTCTGCCGGCAGAGTAGGGAGAAACTCTGGCGCCTTTCATGCAGACGTGTGCATAAAGTAGCTTGTCAATTTCACTTTTCATGAATCACAGCATGGATGGGGCAGGACATTAAAAAAAGGTTGACAGCCATTGGGGTCATTTACACTGGGCACGCTAGGGACATGTCACAATCAGAATGTCCTGACCACATTTTGAAATGGCTGATTTTGTCCCCATCACTTTTTGAAAGAATGTTAAAAATATTCTGAAAAATAGCTTGCAATGACAAATGTTAAATAACAAAGGAAAAGGCTTTGAGAAAGGTTCATTTTCATAATAAGAAAATATGCAAAGAAATTAAAAAATTAAAAAATTGCATTGTCCAAAAAAAGCAACTTAACGTAAGAAAAAAAAACAAGCTACTGATTACTGCACTGTATTCTATTCTATTCACCAAATCCAATACAGATCAGATTTTGGGAATGCAGCCTCAGTCTAGATGGTCGGATCGGAAATGATGCAACTCTGACTTCACTGTAGAGGTGCTGTTCCCACAAGCTCCACAAATGCCATTATTAAACATGTGGCTCTCTTCCTCCTCTACCTTGTTATCATGTGCTCACAAATTCCCTTTCTTACACCTGAAATCCACCGGGTCAAGAGCTCTCTTCTCAGTTACGTCCGAGAGAGTGAGTGTTGTGTCATGGAAAGGACAGAAAGTCTTGAACATTTGTCATAATTCAGGAGAGATGTGACCCCGGGAGTAAACCGGGAGAGGGCGATGAAATACGGGAGTCTCCCGTGAAAATCATCAGGATTAGCAAGTCAGAGCTAACCGAAGCTAACCTTTATGGCCACATTTAAACTCTAAAGTATATTAACAATCACTAAATTTTTTGTTTTTCAGCTCAAACAACGTACTTTTTTAGTTCCCTTTCACTACTCTCATTTCCAGCAGCAGCAGACAGCTGTTTTTACAATACGAACACTATGTTACAATTCCACCTACTGTGAGCAGACGTGAACCTGAAAGTACTTAGGAGTAACCTGTACACTGTAACATACCTTGGCTCCAGCAGGTCCAACTGGACCTGGAGACCCTGAAAGTCCCCTTGGCCCACGGTCACCTCTGTCTCCCTGTGAAATTTGAAAAGCTCACTGACACATCAGCTCTGAAAGGTAAATACAACTAAGTACAATAATTCAGTTGGTCGTATGCCTGTTTCAGTGAAATCTTTGTCACTACAGGTATGTAAATATGGACATTAATCACTTTGAATCCTAAGTAACTATTTACCTAGGTGGTTTTACACCTTGCATTACCAGGAAATCCTCATGTGAGGGCTATTATAACAAAGCAACACTTCTTCATGTTGAACAAACAGCAATCAGGATATCCTCCAAGTTACTGGAAATATACTTTGGAAGCAGCTGCACCATGGCAGATTACCTTTTCTCCAGTGATGCTTTTGCCTGGTGCGCCCTCTAGGCCTCGCAGACCTGGTACACCCATCTCTCCCTGGATTAAACAGCAAGTCAAACTGTGTCACAGCATTCCACAAACCAAATGTTTCTAGTGAATCAAAAGCTTGTTTGTGATGCGTCTGAGTGTTCTGAACATAGAAGCCCACTGAAGGTAAAACAAGCAGATAAAACTGAGCTGATGTAATGCACATATTCCTGACTAAAGAGCTGGAAGTCCACATACAGATAAAATACATTAAAATGATAGTCACTATAACATGAAATGCACAAGTTAAAATGAAAGTAAAACAATAAAAAGGGCTGGTAGATCAGATCAAATCTGAAAAGGTTTCAGGTGGGACCTAAAAGGAGACAGCCTGATGTCCTCAGGCAGGTCATTTCAGAGCCTCGGGCCCCTGACCACAAAGATTCTATCTCCTCTTGTTTTCAAGCTGGACTTGGGGATGCTGCACAGAAGACCCCTGCCAGAGGATCTAAGGCTTTGCGCAGGATCGTAAGGGGTTAAAAGATCAAAAATATATTCTGGAGCCAGGCCACAAAGAGCTTTAAAACAATCCTAAAACAAACAGGGAGCCAATGTCAAGAAATTAAAATGGATGTGATCATGGGCGTAAATTTCATCTCACAGTAGGGAGGGACAATAAACATAAAATTTCTCAAGAGCAATTTTTGAAGGGGACACAAATAATACAGCCAAAATTGTAAAATTGTAGGATAAATGTAACTTAAGTTCATAGGTTCACCACGCGGCCATATTATCCTAAATAACTTGTGTCCTCTAGGCTACATAGTAATTTAGGTTTCTTCTAGGATAGTGGATCTCTCTCTCTCTCTCTTATATATATATATCTATACATACACACACACACACACACACACATATATATATACACTCACCTAAAGGATTATTAGGAACCATACTAATACTGTGTTTGACCCCCTTTCGCCTTCAGAACTGCCTTAATTCTACGTGGCATTGATTCAACAAGGTGCTGAAAGCGTTCTTTAGAAATGTTGGCCCATATTGATGGATAGCATCTTGCAGTTGATGGAGATTTGTGGGATGCACATCCAGGGCACGAAGCTCCCGTTCCACCACATCCCAAAGATGCTCTATTGGGTTGAGATCTGGTGACTGTGGGGGCCATTTTAGTACAGTGAACTCATTGTCATGTTCAAGAAACCAGTTTGAAATGATTCAAGCTTTGTGACATGGTGCATTATCCTGCTGGAAGTAGCCATCAGAGGATGGGTACATGGTGGCCATAAAGGGATGGACATGGTCAGAAACAATGCTCAGGTAGGCCGTGGCATTTAAACCATGCCCAATTGGCACTAAGGGGCCTAAAGTGTGCCAAGAAAACATCCCCCACACCATTACACCACCACCACCAGCCTGCACAGTGGTAACAAGGCATGATGGATCCATGTTCTCATTCTGTTTACGCCAAATTCTGACTCTACCATCTGAATGTCTCAACAGAAATAGAGACTCATCAGACCAGGCAACATTTTTCCAGTCTTCAACTGTCCAATTTTGGTGAGCTCTTGCAAATTGTAGCCTCTTTTTCCTATTTGTAGTGGAGATGAGTGGTACCCGGTGGGGTCTTCTGCTGTTGTAGCCCGTCCACCTCAAGGGTGTGCGTGTTGTGGCTTCACAAATGCTTTGCTGCGTACCTCGGTTGTAACGAGTGGTTATTTCAGTCAAAGTTGCTCTTCTACCAGCTTGAATCAGTCGGCCCATTCTCCTCTGACCTCTAGCATCAACAAGGCATTTTCGTCCACAGGACTGCCGCATACTGGATGTTTTTCCCTTTTCACACCATTCTTTGTAAACCCTAGAAATGGTTGTGCGTGAAAATCCCAGTAACTGAGCAGATTGTGAAATACTCAGACCGGCCCGTCTGGCACCAACAACCATGCCACGCTCAAAATTGCTTAAATGACCTTTCTTTCACATTCTGACATTCAGTTTGGAGTTCAGGAGGTTGTCTTGACCAGGACCACACCCCTAAATGCATTGAAGCAACTGCCATGTGATTGGTTGATTAGATAATTGCATTAATGAGAAATTGAACAGGTGTTCCTAAAAATCCTTTAGGTGAGTGTATGTATATATATATATATACACATTTATTCATTTAGCTGACGCTTTTATCCAAAGTGACTTACAATTGCTATACATGTCAGAGGTCGCACGCCTCTGGAGCAACTAGGGGTTAAGTGCTCAGGGACACAATGGTGGATAGGTCAAAGTGGGGGATTGAACCCGGGTCTCTCATACCAAAGGCATAGTCAAATCCATTGCGCCATCACCACCTATATATAAAAAGTTTTATTTTTACCTAAGTTGATCTAATTTTTTTGTCATTTAAAATAAGGTATTCATTTTTTAATTGTGTTCAATTTATATATGTATATTTACATTAACCCATACGCGTAGGAGCCATTATACATGAGGGGGACATGTCCCCCCCACATTTCAAAATCTATGTTTTGTCCCCCTCACTTTTTTTTTGGGCGATTTTGGAGTTGGCTCATAGCCAGGCGGTTTGAGTGACTAGTTAATCAATGACACACACCGCATCAGACATGATTAAACGGTTGAAACGTGGACAAAAATCATGTAGGCCTATAGAAAACATGCGACACAACGCAAATGCGGTGCTGAAAAGTTAAGGGAGAAAAAAAGAGTTCGCTGAGGCAGGTGCAACAAAGTACCTCAATATTACGTTTATTTTGTGCTGTTCTTTTTGTACCTGAAGACAGCCGTGGGGACGCCTGCTGCAGGGGGGGTAGTGATTTTGATAAATAAATAAAATAAAATAAAGTAATTGGTACCTTTTCATGTTCCTTTTTTAGCCTACTTTTACTCTTTACTCCAGTATTTTCTGTGGGCCAGCAATATACTTTTAATATCGCTATATTTTCCATTCATACCTTCATAACTTCACCAGTCTGTAATCTGCTATAGGCTTCGTTAAACCTGATGAACAGCAGATGAAATATATGATTAGCCTTTACTTTTACTGAAGTAGGTTTGTCATTTTTTTCTTTTACTTTTTATGGGAGTAATAGTACTTTTTCTTGAGTAAAGATTTTGAGTACTCTACCTGCCACTGGCCAGCAGCACCAGTACTAGTGCTGTCATGGTGAACATGAGACAGACAGCAGAGATGAAGGCAACAGCAGAACAGAGTCAAAGCAGCAGTTTATGGTAATAATGATGATGATATGACTTATTTATTTATCTACTCAATGGCTCAGCTGAAGTGATTACTTTACTTGAAGAGTGTTAGAGGGATGTTTCTAGTTTTGAAAATGTATTTTAAATGCTCATTTAGTTATGTACTCTACTTGCATAAAATTCTCAAGAATGCAGGAATAAAGGTTTCTAAAGACCCAGAGGGCCCGACACATGCTTTGTCTGGAGAGCGGACTGACCAGGGACAAACTCCTGGGCCACTTTTTGGCCTCCGTCTGTGAAAAAACTTGTGCCAGGAGCAGGGACGTGCACAGGAATTTTGAAGGGCAGTTGCTCTGACCTGAAAAAAGGCACTAAACACAGTATCCAAAATGTATTAACAATATAAATGTCACCAAAATACATATGAGAAAAAGAGTTCCTTATATAATTGTTTATTGTTTTTTTTAATCATTATTATTATTATTTTTTCCTTTTTTTTATTTGAAAATAAATAATCTAGATTGAATTGACAGATGGGGAAAACTCGCTTCTAATAAAATATTAAATAAAAAAACGCTTAGATTTCGGAAAAAAATACAATCCTTTTTTAACCTTTTGGCTTCCCGTACATTCAGTTGCGCTTCTAGCTCGTATTCACTTCTGTTGGTACGTATCACGTATGGTAACTGGGCAAAACTACGCATGATTTGTTGTAGTATGATTGCATAAAGGAAGGAAACAGGAATTCGGGTAGGGAACAGAATCAACTGACGTGCAGGCAGCGCTGCAGCAGTGCAGCCACTTAAACAGAGTTTGCTCTTCCCCTACTGACTTTCACTTTCGGTGCCCGAATGGAAGTGAATGAGGCTTTGCGATCGCGATTATTTTTTTATTTTATTTTTTTCTCTCGGAAGGGCGAGTCGGAAGGGCAACTTGAGTCAGGAAAGGCAAACGGGCAGTTGCCCGGGCAACCAGAGCAACCCCCCTGTGCACGTCCCTGGCCAGGAGGTGTGCATGTGTCTCTGCTACGTGCCCATAAACAACTGAAAAGTATTCAAAATGTTCACACAGAGAACATGAGCATCCTGCAGTATTTTAAGAGGAAGAGGTCAGAGGTCACAGGAGCAGGAGGATAAGAAACTGAGGAGGACGAGCTTGTAAGTTGTATGGATAGCTAGTAGACGTAGTAAATTCTAAAACTCACGTAGTAAAAAGACTTTGTTATTCCTACCGCATGTCATCAGTTTACTTTGAAGACAGCTCTCTGTGTTCATAAACATTTGTTGCAGGAAGAGTCAGGTCCAAGTGAGACACAGGAAATATCAGACAGCTACATCAAGTGTAATATTAGGATAACTGAATACATTTGTACTGTGGCTACATTAACTAGCAGCTGTTCCATGGTTTTTATGGTATGTAGTCGGTTTTGTTCTAGTTATATTATACTCCCTCTCTCTGACCCTCTCCCTCTTCGAGTTTTCATAATCTCCCCTCTCCAGTCTATTCTTCTCTTTCAGCCACACTAATAAGTACATTCTGTTTTCAAAAATCATTAGAAATGAGCATTTAAGTGCTTTATTTAAAATAATCGAGGGGGAATGCCCCCGAACCCCTCAAGCATTTCAGCGCCCCCCCCCAGGTTCAACGTCGCTCCTACGCCCCTGCATTAACCCCTTAACATTCCAGGTCCTTGCGATAAATATTTGCCGGCAGACGTGGCTCGTATTAACTCTGATTTGAATGTAAACAACTACGATACGCTTGTATTCAAATTAGCTGCTGAACTCGGACCTTTTGAGTGACAATCAATGAATGGCACTTTGTGTAATGTTAACTTTTAATTCTGAAAATAACGATATCCAGTTTTAAGTAGGAAGCTCATGATCTACCAGCAAAAAACAGCGATCAGTGACGCTGCGTTGGTGTTTCACAGGTGATCCTTGTAGGTGGGCAGATTAAACAGTGACGATCCGAGTCAGACAAACACACTGAGCCATGAGACTTTTTGTTGGCGCAGCTATGCAGCTACCAGAATTACGGTGTTTCTGCTGTTGTTCTACGTCATTAAACCACGGTTATGCTGCGCGATCATGCGCAGTAGATGCTGGTGCGAACAGGAAGTAGCCCTGTAGTAGTATTTTATTGGTCCAAAACTGGCTTCACATCAGCGGGGTGGCTTCGTCCAGTAATATACTGTCTATGAAAACACATCTGCGTCAAGCTACCGGCTAATATGGAGCGATGATGCCTGCTGCCAAGGGGCGGTGCTGTTTTAGAAAAAATACACTAAGACATACACTTAGAAAAACCTGTGTAAAATAGTCATTTTTCATGGTATTGGTATGAAATTTTAACTTGGACTAGGTAAGGCTTTATGCCGTGGCCCTACAGTGTTTTCCAGCTAATAAGTCCCAGCTATAGTATAGTCCGCATTTTCAAGTGGAAATGAAAAATACATTAGTTTTTGTGTGTTAATTAATTCCAGTAGCACTTACAATCATCATGACTTTTGGGTTTTATAGTTTTTGGTTGAAGTAGTAAAATGCTAGATTAGTATGTTTGGGGTAAGATGACGAACATATTAAATTACATTTGTTTTTATTTTACTTTATAATATGTTGCACTAAGCATGGTCTTCTTAAAGATACAAAAAAGTCAATAAAATGTTCTTTAATGTGTCAGAAAATAGACAGCGAGCTTAGAGGGGGGGCGTCTTACCCCACTCTACCCTATATATCATCATATTATTTGATGGTTTTTAAGGGGTGGACACCCCTCAGATAGGGGGGGACCTGACCCCCCTGTCCTCCCTGTGATTTCTGCCTATGGGTATAATGTGGTCTTACTTCCTAGTTTGGACTAATAACCTCGCAGCTGAGTTCTGCATAGTCTGCAAGTTTTTTTATTTAGACATGTGAACAGGCTGTTGCAATAATCTAGGCTAAAGGAGATAAAGGAATGTACAGCTTTTTTAGCATCTCTGGCATTTAAGACTGATCTTGTCTTGTCTAATATTTCTAAGGTTGTTGAGGCGCGACTGGAAAAGCTTAGCAAAGTCTTGTTCAAAGCAAAGATTGCTATCAAAAAGGAGACCAAGATTTCTAGCAACAGGCTTAATGTGTTTAGACAAGTGACCAATAGTATGTTTAGTAAAGTGTTATTATGAGCATTTCTGTTTTATTGGTATTTAGCTGTAGAAAATTCATTGACAACCAGTTTTTTGTCAGCCAGGCAGGCCAGCACACTGAGTTCTTCAGAAGAAGAACTGAGTATGAACTGCAGAACAATGGAAGTGAATACCGTCTTTGCAGATCACATCACACAGGGGAAGCATGTACAGGTAGAGCAGGAAGCAACGTCTATGTGGTACGCCTAGCAGGATTTTCAGCCTGCATTTGGTTCATCTTACCTAAAGACTAAGAGTTTGCCTCTTTATTTCCTTAATGTTATGTAAGACCTGTTGAAACAAGATTCTGAGGTGGGACATAATGCAGTGATCACTTCATGTTCCCTCCTACTAGTGCAGAATGAGGTCACCATCTGACATTATGTGAACTTCAAGGTTTCCTTTTTTTGGCCATAGTAAATACAAGTCTTGTTCTGTTCACACAGCCTACTTTACATTTAGTTGGAAACACACATCCAGATTTTTGAGGAGCTTCCGACTTGCTCAGTTCTTACTGTATGTTGCAGCAGTGCATTAGCTCGGTGTATCTATGGGGAAGTTTTTTCTGCGCTGTCAGTTTCACAGTGCTGTCATAGTGACAGTTTCAGCAACGCGTGAAACATTCCAAAATATAGAAAGTACTGAACAATTTAGTAATTTAGTGAGTTTCAGTCACTGACTCACCTTAGGCCCAACAGCTCCATCCTCACCAGGAATGCCAGGTATCCCAGCAGCCCCGTCAGGCCCTGGCTCCCCCTGGAAAACCACACATACACCAACATGTTCAGGTCTCACTCCTCATTCTACTGAGCATGCATTATTCAAGGCGGGTTTGTTTGTCTACCTTTGGTCCTGTCTCACCAACACCCCTCTCTCCCTGAGGTCCAGGCTCTCCAGGAAAACCCTGGTCGCCCTGGGAAGCACCACAAATGACTGAATGTCACATCAGATGACCAACAACTGAAAGGTGCACCAGATGTTTTAGTGCTCCATAGTTGGTGTCACGTACTGTACTTTTTTAATTTAAGATTTTACGACTTAAAGAGAAAAGAAAATGAAGTAAAACTGGTATTAAATACTGTGGTAAAACTATGTATGCACATCCATCACAGCAGAATGTCTTCCTGGTTCATCTTTAACCTACTATACTTGTGCTTAATATACTGTAGTTGTGTGACCTGACTTTTACTTTCAGTTTCACCTCAAAGTTAAGTGATTCAGATGAACTGACTGTTGGTTTTAATATAGTAAGTAACATTTGAGGAAGACTATCTCGTTTCTTCTTTCAAATATCTGACCATGATCACACAGGGCGCATTTGTTTCCAGTGAGAAGCATCTTTTCCAGTTGTTTTCTGGAGGCAGGAGTGCACTGCTCACGTTTTTACAGGAGCACTTTAAACGCCTCGAATTGAAAATAAATCAACTCAGAACAGAAAAGCACCTGAAGTCATTTGTGATTTTTTCACATTGTCCAATCGGTTCAGATTTGAGAGTTTAGTTCACAGCAAAATAGCGGTTATGCTGAGGACCAGGGATTTGGTGGTTGCCTAGAAACAATAAAAACATGCTGCAAGCTGCTCTTTTAGAAGTTGTAGGCTTCAACGAAAAAGGCAGTGCAACATGCTACATCTCACTTTGGCCTTACACAGTGCTTCAAAGTAATCTGTGATAATGTGTTCTCTATATATTTCTCATTCAATGTCACATTACATTTATAAATGATTAATGTATGTTAAACATATCACTCATTCCTATAAATAATATAAAATCCACAGTTTAAACTCTCTACTGATATTCTGCTACTAACCTTTGGTCCAACTATACCCAGTCCAGGAGGTCCTCTGGGACCAGAAGGCCCAGCTGGCCCTTGGTCCCCCTAAAGCCAGAGAGAAATATCCAAATTTAAGATGTGTTACACAACATGCCAAGATGGGCAGTCAGTAGATCTCTCAAACTTTGCTACATTTGTACATTTCTCCGCTTACTCCCAGCTGGGTAAAATGGTCAAACCATCAGGAAAAAAACCCCGTTAAAGTGTGGACAGATGAGACTACACCAGCTCAACAGGACTGTTTTTAGTGCACGGACTGGCACATGTTCAGAGAGGCCGTAAGCCCAGGAAAACCATGTCAATGTTGAGGAATGTACAGCATAAGTAACATCATACATCAGCAAATGTGTTAATGGTGTGGCGATTACAAACACAATTAAAGCAGTTGGAGTGCCCAGATGCCGCAGCTCTTGCACCGCGGCTCTCAATTGTCACGTGCTTATATCTGTATATCGGCAAGTAGATGTGTTCGGTGTGGGGTTAGGGTTTACAAGCACGTAAAGTTTGGTAGAGAGATATTTGAGCAAGTACAGTAAAGTTACAACCTGTTCATGTTTCAAGCCACGGACACGCCTTTGTAGGAAAACATAACGTCATCAACGTGTTCAGGGTTTTCTGACATAGTTCTAAGTAAGTGGCGCTATGACTATAAGTAAATATTGGCTTGTATGTGTTTAGGGCGGGACTCTTATCAAACATGTAAAATTTGGTGCAGATGTGAGCATGTACACTGAAGTTACAACAACTTCATGTTTTGTGCCGAATCATTGATTTCCTACTACGGAAAGTAACCATACGTACAACTTTTAATCATCAATGGGTTTAGACTGCACAGCGAAAAGTCGAACAGACTAATTCCCTAGGGGGAGGAGTGTGTAAATCGCCAAAAATATTGACGCACACTCCTGTCTACATCAGTGGAGCTGAAGTGGAGCAGGTGAACAGTTTTAGGTCCCCAAAGCATCACAGAGAACCTGATATGGTTATCACATATCTATGCCCATACTGTACATACTTTCTGGGTGTATGCGTGTATAGATATGTATGCATGTACTGTATATACTAAACATAAAAAATAACAATTGACAAACATTTCTATGCATGTTCTATGTGTGTAGCGCGAAGGGGCAACAACTTACATTTTATTGTGTAACCCTGTGTAAATTAATCTTGATACCTTGATGACTTACAATACAAAGAAAGGATCAATATGGTAAGCAAATTCTTCAAATTTGCATTGGCCTTGCCTTTTCTCCTTGGATGCCTGCCCCTGGAAACCCCACCAAACCTGGCAGCCCGGGTGCTCCTGTGTTTCCCTGAGGTCAGACAGGTCAGATATGCTTTACCGAATGACAGGTTTTCACTGGACATGCGTCTGTACCGCCAGCCATGTTTAGTAGTTAACCTTATAAACCATAACCATACCTTATCACCTTTGTAGCCGACTCCTGGCGGTCCACGGCTGCCCTTGGGACCCTCATACCCCCTGCCACCCTGTAAGAAACACACTGGGATGGTTAAGACAACAGAAAGGCCTGGAAAAACAAAACATACATATCATAATGACTCAAATCATACTACCATAACCTGAATGACACATCTTTTTTTATTCACTAATTACATGGGGCAGTTACATCTGAATACATCCCACATAAAGTCTGATTGGTCCAGTCTGGATTTTTGAAACCTCTGTGCAATTGATAAATGAAACAGTAATTAAAATGAGTATTTCTCATCTCCCTCTATGGTTTTAAAGCACTAATGTGTCACGTATTAAATTTTGTAAAACATCTGTGATGGTTTCTGGAAATGTGTATCCCTGTACGTAGCAGACTATCTTTAAAAATGAATAAATAAAATGATACATGCTAGTTGGAGTGAACCAGCTTCTCCTGCAACTTACCTTGGGCCCTGGGAGACCCTCACCTGGAAACCCTGGAGATCCTTGCATGCCTGGTGGCCCTGCTGGACCCTAAACACATCAACACAAAGAAAGTAAATGTTAAATACAGAATTAACAGATATTACATTACAGTAGTGATTGTAACTAGAGGCACGATAACATTAAGTCAGCAATAATAAAAGGTCAGTTGCTGGAATATGAGCTGCACTGCCAACAGTAACTTGTGTGGTCTTTTATTCTGCATTTGTTGTGCAGCAACATTTAAAGGATAGGTTCAACAAATAAACGATGCAGATATATTTACATGTTTTTGAGATAGGAATGAAACCGTTGCCACCCCAATACAATGGAGATAAAGGGAAGTGTGTTTGTGCTAGTCAGAGTGTTCAAAAATGACATTTGAAATTTTTTTCAACACAGTGAACTAATTATATGCTTGTATCATATTACTATGGGTCAGTGACAAAAAATTAAATTTGAGTGGGCTGGGCCTTTAAATTAAATTCTACAGAAGCAAAGTGAGGTCATTATGATTTGAATTTTGTAAGCAAATATATACGTAATTGTGAAATGTAACAAGCATGGTATATATTTATACAAATACTTAATGTTGATATTTATAAATAATATATGACAAACACTGCTGAATTTAAATTATTAAAATATTTTACTTTGAAAGATGTCTGAATCAATGTGGTTTGAATCCTGTTGTTATAAGAGTTCCGAAACTTGATTTCAAGTTTTTTAGTTTCACAATTTCATTCAGGTTGCTCAAATGCAGTTAGTCAAATTCAGATCTATCTTGCTTTGAGGAAGGGCCACATCCAGCTGACCATCAATGGAACTGCTGTGGAACAGGTAAGCAGCACCAAATTCCTGGAGGTGCACATCACGGTCCTCTGTGATGTGCACCCCCGTGGTATTAGGTATTGATTTAAGCATTACATAGGAATGGGGTGATGGCAATAAATATATCAGCTATATGAGTAGTTACTGAATTTTCACCCACCGGTGTTCCTGGTTCACCCACACCCATTGGTCCAGGAGGGCCTGGTCTTCCTTGGTTCCCATTGTCACCCTGAAAAATACAGTTGACAGAATAAAGATAAACTGAAAAGCACATTACATGCCTCATTAGATAAGTAGGAAAATATTCTTTATTTAATTAAATACTAAACCAAATCTAACTTTTTTTACCTTGGGACCAGGGAACCCAATGCCCTTATCTCCTGGAGGTCCAGGTGCACCCCTCGGTCCTCGGTCACCCTTTTATGAGAAGGAAAAAGAAACTTACCAACACGCCCATAGCTTTGACCTGTTAACATACTGATTTACTTTACTTTATTTTGAAACTTGATTGCCAGTGTTCTTACTTTAGATCCAGATGGCCCCTCTGGACCATGGTCTCCAGGTCCTCCCCTGGCTCCCTGAGACAGGAACAAAACAGGAATCGACATTTAATACATATGTAAATAAAGATAAAATTTACCTAATTTCACTACCATTTTCAATGTGTCAATGTTCTTGATATATTGTATACAAGTTAAAACAAAGATAAGACAGGTAATTTAATGGTTGTGTTGTTTTTTGGTTTTTGGAAAGCTAAGTTCCCCATTCTTATAACTGTTCTGTCTCTGGAAAGTGTGTGTCTTTTCTGATACTTATGGAATTAACTGTCATTACAAAATGATCCCTTACCAGCTTCCCACTGACTAACACAGCAGGGGGTATTAGGCCCCAGTCCCTGTTGTGGCTAGTGAGTTTTTTCAACTGCTCCACCCAAAACCACACGGTGAACGGTGAAATTTTAAGGATTTAAGGGTGGGATTAAGCCAATCCAGCTGCTGTGGGTTTTTTAATGTGCAGTAAATAGGCAACACTGTGGAGGAACTACTTGTTGGTTACTTGTTAGCTAGCAAGGGATCCACACAATGGTTATGACAACATTACAAGAAAACGTATTTTATGCTGTAAAGCTTATTATACTAAGAGATTCATTAAGAGGTGCTAAACCTATTCAGAAGTGGACACTGAGCACATGCAGCACGGTAAAAGAAACTGATAATGAGAAAGAAGAAAGTGATAACCTTATACATTAACTAGACTGTTTGAGTTCTAAAAGATCATACCAATATCTTGCATGCTTGAGCCTGTTCACTGCAAACCACATATGCTTTGCACTGCTGACATTTCTCACAATGTTACAAGAGTTAAAAGAGAACTCGATTGAGCATTGCATTCCTATAACATTGTTGGACTCAAAGGAAAGTTTAAAAAAGATTTAAAAAATTGATGCAGCAGAACCAGAGATACCACTAACTATGTCACACATTCTACTTTCTTGTCAAAATCTGGAGCCTACATTACTCACAATGCAACTCAGCTACAGACAGTTCAGTTGGAGATTTGGCTGTGCTATGATAGTAGCGGTTTATGAAGTCTTGGGCCTCTAGCAAGCAGACAGAGGGGTGAGCTGCAGACGTCTGGAAAGCTCACTAACTCCACAAACCCAGATTCTTTTTATTTTCGAACTTGCAGTCTTCAGCCTCAACCAACACAGACTCGAGTGGCATCACATGAGGCAAATTATTAGACTTCATTCAGCTTTCTCTGAAGACACAGTGACACAGACACAGTGTGTGGCACTGGTTAATGGGCTGTGACTGCCCTCTGCTGGAATCTAAGAGGAGTGTAAACATGAACCTTTGACATGCAAATCATATCCTCAAATGTTAGAAATCTACAGACATTTGTATCTTGAAAACATAACCAAAGGCAGCCAAGTATGCCTATTGATTCATGTAACTGTAACATTAAATTGTAAAAACCATCAGGGCTTTTATCAGGTGTCCAGTGTATCACTTTTTGAGCCAATTAGGCGTAACTGTACATTGTGAGTCATTTGTAAAGTCATAATTCTGATGATGCATGCTTTGATTTTGTTTTAACAGATGTAATGATGACTGCGATAGATTACCTGACTCAGAAAAATAAGTTCTTGCAGGCCGATTTTCATATCACAGAAGATAGGGGGAAACAAGGTAAAATACCTAAAATACAATTTAATATTGTTATGTATATTTGATTATTGCTGTCGTTCTGTAGAGTGACTGCATAAGCAGGTCACCTGTATAATAACCTCCTACACAAACTCTGTCAAATAGTTAGTTATTACCTGACAGGGAAGGCCTCCAAAGTTAGTATGTGTGTATCAGTATGGTTCAAGTTTAGCGCCTAACCTCCTTCATCTCTTGTCCTTTCATTCCCCCCTCACCTGTCTAAGGACTGGTGGATACTAATACTATGATGGTGGATACTTTGCTATGAGAGATTAATGAATAAACTTTTGACTGTGGTATGTAGGTACATTTCATGGGAACTGGAGACAGATCAGAAGGAAGTGAAACCTAATGGCACTCCAACGATGGCTGCTGTTGTTCTACCGATGCTGAAGGGGGCAACAAGCATTTAAGGAGAGAGGGAATGGATAACATGTGCCCAAATCCTAATCCTCTGGGACAACGTCTGCTCAAAGACGACAACCAAACATTGCAAGCTTGGATTCCCCGCTTTAGAAAGGCTACATTAGGAGAGGGATAAGATCTAATCCACAGCTCACATTCCACAAGTGCAGAGCAGGAGATGGACCCAGAGTGTGTGGCTTTCACTGCACCACTGATTGTTCCAGTGCGGATGTGGCGGGACACAGGAATCTTTCAATTTGACCACACACCCGTTCGGGTATGAAGGCTCACGCACATAGAGTTCAACTCAATTTTTGAACGATAACATATTATAGGTGTACTGCATATTGGTAATATCAAGCTTTTAAATGAAACTTAAACATTACCAGCTAAAGGGCACATACACCTACTTCTAATAATAAATCGCCCTGAAATGCAAATGTCTGTTCATTTATATGAATATGAACCACACAGTCTGTGAATGGTTTAAACGAACATGATACAAAGTGGAAGTTAGTGAACTTCAGAGATGTTTGTAGGCACATTTCTGAACTTTGGACAAAGCCAGGCTGGCTGTTTCCACCTGCTTCTACATCTTTATGCTAAGTTAGGTTAAGCACATCCTGACTCCAGCTCTGTACTTAACACACAGACATGAGATGGTTATCAAGTGTATTTCCCAAAATGTAGAACTAATCCTAAAATTTCTGCTCGGTTGATTTGTTGGATGAATTTTCTATTTGTTGTATTTAACCAACACACACAGCGCTGTGGAGTCACAGCATTGTCAGACAACAGAGTAACATAAAAACATGTATCTTTTGAGTTTTGAGTGAACAGCATGTGAGGTGCGTATTTGGGTTTTATCTCCATTATTCCATTTCAGTGTCCTCATAAATGTAAACTCAGCCAAGCAGCTGTGGTGCCAAAACTATAACACTGTCTGATACATATCTTACTTATTGTCAATTATCAACAATTTGAAATTATTATATACTCTGTGAGTGTAGATCCATATGCAAAACATTGTCCGTTTTTATCTCTGGTCCCATTCCCACAGTTGGTCGCGGTGCTGGCCGCTTCAGTAGACTCCTTGGCCTCCACGACTGGCTCCAGTCCGCCTGCAGGGCTCATCGTGTGTTTTATGTCGATAACTTTAATATTTTCTGGCAAAGAATGCCTCTTTTTAAGACAGACGGACTTCACCCAAAAAGACAGGGCTCAGAAATGTTATCTGCGCACATACAGCATGTGGTGCGGTCCACACATGATTTACGTGAATGACTAATCATTCATGCAGCACACCTGGACACACCACCGCTCACTGAACAGATCTCTGCCTCACTGCCACTAACTGTCTCCACCTGCTGGCATGTAAAGCCGTCTGCTCCCAGCGCTGTTCCAAAGACTTCTATTCCTGTCATCATCACACATAGACCAGTAAACCGAAATGTGCACATCCCACACAGAAATAATAGAAATCGGATAGGATTAGGACAACTGCACCAACTCCAGCACCCAGAACAAACTCATTTAAAATCACTTTCAAGTAAGACTTTTATCTTAAATGATTTTATCTTGTCTGCAAATCTAGATTTTATGTTTTTAACTGAATCCTGGTTGCAAATGAATGACTATAGCCAGCTAGCTGAACTGTGTCCGCCTCAATATGATTGCTTTAGTTAACCGAGGGTCAGTGGTCGTGGTGGTGGGCTAGTGAGCGTGTATAGGGAAAATTTAAAATGTCATCAAGTACGCTGTGATGAATTTAACTTGAAGTTCTCACTCTTAAAGTTGGAGGGCTGCAACCTATCATATTTGTTATAATTTATCGCCCCCCAAAACTGCCTGGAGGATTTTTATCAGAACTTCCTGGATTTTTATCTACTCTGGTTTTAAATTATGACAGAATTGTTCTTTGTGGCGATTTTAATGTTCATGTTGATGACCCCAACAATGTTAATGCAACTGACTTTTTAAATATGGCCACTTCTATTAACTTCAAACAACATGTCAAAGGTCAAACACATAACCGTGGTCATACACTGGACTTGGTTTTTACCCTGGGTGTCAGCATTTCCTCTGTGGAATTAGTGGACATGACCATATCTGACCACAGATGTATTGTTTTTAGCTGCGATTCTCCTGTTACTCATTCCGCCTCACCAAGCTCCGTGTGTTCTCGCTTCTTTAATGAACAAAGTGTTTCAAAGTTTTGCACATTCTTTCAGAGCCAAAGCCAACACCTGTCTGATTCCAACACCAACAATCTGGTCGATCACTTCAATCATATCTGCTTGTCGTCACTAAATATTACTGCTCCTCTAAAGGTTAGGCCTACGTCTAAAGCTAGTAAGCAACCCTGGATAAATGACAGCATTCGCAGCCTAAAAAGGGAATGCAGGAAAGCAGAGCGCAGATGGAAATAATCCAGTCTCCAAGCCCATTATCTCAGTCTGAAGGATTTATTAATTAACTACAATAACATGGTTAAGGATGAGAGACCACACTATTTTTCTGAACTCATTACTACACATAAACACAACCCCAGGTTTCTGTTTAAGACTGTGGATCAGCTGGTAAACCCAACCCCTCCTTGTGCCTCAGCTGGAAGTAATGATGACTGTGAATTGTTTTTATCTTATTTTACCAATAAGGTGGTGTCAATCAGAGCCTCTATTACCCCCGCGGCCTCTTACTCAGAGGTTCCTCACCAGCAACAAGAGAGTTTTAACCAGTTTTATCCCATCGACTTGTCTGAGCTTTTAAAAACAGTATCACAAATGAGAGTGTCCTCCAGCCCACTTGATGTAATACCTACAAAGTTTTTACTGAAAGTAATGGATTCTGTTGGCCCCCATTTGATCTCTGTTTTCAACAGCTCCCTATCTACTGGTTGTGTCCCTGATTATTTTAAAACGGCTTGCGTGAACCCACTTTTAAAGAAACCTGGTTTAGATCCCTCCCTCCCACATAATTTTAGACCAATTTCAAAACTGCCTTTTATTGCAAAGATTCTAGAAAGAATTGTGTCCAAACAGCTGCTCACTGTACTGGAAAATAACAAAATATTTGAAAAGTTTCAGTCTGGTTTTAGGAAGTACCACAGCACTGAGACTGCCCTGCTTAAAGTCACCAATGACCTTTTAATGTCGGCTGATGAAGGCATGTGCTCAGTCCTGGTACTCCTGGACCTTAGTGCTGCTTTTGACACCATTGATCACAACATCATGTTAGACAGACTGAGGCACTGGGTGGGGATCTCTGGTACTGCCCTAGAATAGTTTTCATCCTACCTGTCAAATAGGAAGTTTTGCGTGTTTGTAAACAACTACTACAACTTTCGAGCAGCACACCACAAAACTTGTTCAATCATGTTTTTATCAACTTAGAAATATAGCAAAAATTCGATCTATGTTAACTTTTAAGGACACCGAGACCATTTTACACGCCTTCATCTCATCACGCCTGGATTATTGCAACAGCCTTTTCACCTGTTTAACCCAAAAATCTATTGATCGACTCCAGACTGTCCAGAACTCAGCTGCCAGGCTTTTAACCAGAACAAAGAAATATGACCACATTACTCCTATTTTAGCTTCACTACACTGGCTCCCAGTATGTTTTAGAATTGACTTGAAAATTCTATTGATCACATTTAAAGCTCTTCATGGCCTCTCGCCTTGTTATATTTCTGACCTTTTAGTCCCATACACACCAGCACGTACCTTGAGATCCTCGGGCAGAGGTCTGTTGTCTGTTCCAGAGTCTCGACTGAAAACTAAAGGGGACAGAGCGTTTGCTGTCAGGGCCCCGAGGCTCTGGAACAGCCTGCCCGAGGAAATCAGGTCGGCTGAGTCAGTGAACTCTTTTAAGTCCCTTCTTAAAACATACTTTTATAGGAGAGCCTTTCCCGATCTTATCTGACTTTATTTTATCCCTTTTATTTTATTCTATTTTACTTATTTTATATTTATCTTAAACGTGTATTTTGGTCTCAATGTTTTCTTGCTTGTTTTGTTGTCTTTTGGGTATTGTTGTCTTTGCACTTGTTGAAGCACTTTGTAACTTGTTTTTGAAAAGTGCTCTACAAATAAAGATTATTATTATTATTATTATTATTACATGAGATTACCAACATTGACGCACCGCATCATTTTGCCATTCACAATGATTACAACACATCAGCTGTGTATCCGGTGTGAGGGAAGACATCTGAGCTAAGACACAATCAGTTGTCGTGGGAAAACGTTAACTCAGGCTCAGTGTATAATGGGATATCAGTGTGCTACACAGCCCTTCATTTGTGCACAATGTGCACAGAGTATTGGTTAATGGGATAAAAAGTATAAAAACTTCACCTGCTCTCCTCTGGGCCCTCTGGAGCCAGGAGGTCCATCTGCACCCTAAGGAAAGATATCAATATATATATCACTATTTTCACATTCAGCACTTGGCCACACTCCGTTGCAAATAAATCATTAAAAATGTATTAAACCTACTTGTTCACCCTTTTTACCGGGGGCACCACATTCACCCTGTTCCCCCTGGAAAATACAACCAGTAAAGGTGCAGGTAAGCAAACAACTTTCTAATCTGGACACCGTGCCAAGTCACACTGTCTGACACTGGCTAAAGGTCTGTAGGCCTTTTAGTATTGAAACTGTGACAACTGGCAAGATCTGTATTTATGGGATTTCATGTAGAATTATGCTTATGTTTATGATATTTCCATACCTGGATTCAGTAGTGGTGATTCCTCATAAATAAACATTTTAATTTATCAAATATCACAACAAAAACAATAACAATACAAACCTTTTCCCCTTTGCTACCAGGCCGACCCTAGAGAAAAGGAAATTTTACATTAAACCTTTTCCTAATTTATAGCAGACAGTTGCCTGCCCACCAACCATCATGGTACTGGTAAAGAAAGTCAAACAGCCAACTAACATCAACACAGGACTACTTAATATGATGGGAGCACAGGAGATGTCACAGAATAACATTTTGCTACTTGTTTTAATGGTAAAAAAAAACTGTAATAACAGGGGCAACCGTGGAATATACCATACTCAGATTTACATCTTGAAAACCTGCAATCCAGGCAAGAGAATTTTGAGAAAAATATTTGATGATTACCACAAGGCCCTCCATTCCTGGACGTCCATTAATGCCAGGTTCCCCCTGAAGTGAGCGAGCCCAGACAAAACAGCACATCAAACAACACTTTGTGGATTTATTCTGTTACCAGCACTGGATTATGAAGACAATAGAGACTTACACGAGATCCCTTTGGACCTGGAGCGCCATCAGACCCCGGCTCGCCTGGTTTCCCCTAGATGAAAGTAAAGGGAGAGGTTGTGCCGAATGAGAATATTTGGGCCCCTTTTAGTTTGGACGTGTATGTATAGGCAAAGGTGAGGTAGGGCATTCTCAATGTGACCTGTCTGTAACCCCTGTCCAACATAAACTTCCAACTGAGCGCAGCAGGTTCTCAGATCACTGCAGCCTGTGTGTTTGCTCAGGTTTAATCTTCCATCCTTGACCTTTGCTTCTTTCCAAGGGCCTCTCTTCAGTAGCGCTACCAGTGAAAACAGCCCTTTCAGCTGGTCCTCTCTCCACCTGCTACACTTGCATTGTGGGAAACATTTCCTGCTCTTTCACATAATTTCCCTGTAGTGCTTTGGATGCAGGCCAGGCGCACCTGCTGATGGAGGCCGCCAGCCTGCGGAGGCTGAGAGAATCCCCAGCTATCCAGGGAAAACAAGCCACAGTGTGAGGCTTACTGGGCTGTGTGTGGCCTATCTATCTATCTATCTATCTATCTATCTATCTATCTATCTATCTATCTATCTATCTATCTATCTATCTATCTATCTCATGTCCATTAAAGAGAGTTTGGCAAATACTATCTGTTAGTTATAGTAAGTACAGAATTTCAGCTAATACATTTGGAATGAAAATGTTTAACACTGATATGCCCAAAGATTATTACCCATATGACTTTTCAATGAAGTAACAAGTGGTTATGTATATGGTACAGTTATTTTTTTATCACTTTGGTACTATTATTGCAAGTACGTGGTAAAAGTTTACAACTCTTGGTACAAAACTTTAGAATGAATTTCAAAATTTAGATTTCTCGTGAAAGTCATGAGAACATATGGTGTAATCACCAAAACACAACATAATGATATCTTTTCAGTTTAGTGGTTTTAACTATCAGAGAAGCCAATACCAAACAATACAAGATACATGTTTCAAATCCCCTTAGAAGTGCTGAAAGTACTATGCTACAGTTTACTGTAAAAGACAGATTACACAGTTTTCACAGTAGGCAGTACACTTACATTACACAACATTTACAGAATCTATAATTTCCATAATATCTATCCTATATGGAATCAAGTTGTGATCAATGAAGACATTGTCTGAGCCTGTCCACAAGATCTGATCGATACCACTACTTTGCTGCCTATTCTGCTCAACGTTGAAAGGAGTTGCTGGTGTTCACACCCCCCTTCCACAGTATATGGTTACCAGTTGAGTTTACCACCACGTGAAATTACCAATGTAATTACGGATGGTAATCACGTAGTGTGTTTTGCAGTATTATATTGTACATGCTAAAATCCTTGCAGGGGTCCTTTGTGGCTCTGTTTGTTACATAGAGCACTAAGCTACTTGCACCAAGGTTGTGGGTTTGAATCCCAATGAAGTCACATGCAGTGAAATGATTCTGATTCAGGCAAATGAAACAACAATACATTAAGCAAATATTAAGCAAATGTTTCAGTGATGATCAATTAGGAACAATGAACATAGTGATAGTAAAAGGTATTTTAACAATAGAGAAGAAAATCTTAACAAACAATCTGCATGTACTATGAACATAATGTCTTTCAATGGGAAACATGTCTTTCTACATGTTTTGTTGTGCAGAGTCAATGTCAGATGTACTTATAGTTGTGAAAAAAGGTCCTTTTTGATGATCTGTTGTGTTTTTTGTACTAAGAGTGGTGAAATGTTACCACATAGTTGTGTGAATAGTACCATAGCGACAGAAGTCTAACACAGTGTTATGGATGATAGCACAGATCCTATAAAACACTCACCGGGCTTCCAGGGTGACCCCTCTCCCCACTCTCACACAGGCAGGTCTTAGGCAGTGGGCACTGAAATGAAGACATAGGAAAACGAAGAGGTGAAATAGCTAGCAGAAACATGGAAGAACAATTCTAGCCTCCTCCACTTTGTGTTTACAAAACTGTCAAATGAATTTTGATAGCTTGCTGAGTGTTACTGTTTCTTTAATCTTGACTGTCAGAAAAGCATCAAATGTCAAAATAAAATAACACAGAAGACGATCACGTGAACAAATAGGGATAATAGGAGTTAAAAATCTCATAGTACTTACCCCAGTTTTGACAATTGTGTTCTGAAAGAACAAAAGACAAAAGGAGAGTTACTTATTGTCCAGTCCTACAGAAATCACAAATCTGCACCAACATAAAAACACACTTAAGGGCTATGCATCATTTCCAGTCATACAGGCCTATATGTTGTTTACTTTTAACATTTATTATCCAAACATTATGTGCGTCCATGAGGCCTCAGCTAGTGCGACGTGCTGCACCACATAGTGGTCTCAGTGACACGAACAAGGCTACATTTCTTGCTGTAATGCCAATGACGGCCTGAATATGCCCTAACCTTAATCCAAAACTTTTCACACTGTCAGCAGCATAGGGGAGAGCCCTGTGAGTTCAGCCAGTTTTTGCTCGAGGCGTCTTTAAAGTGAGGACATGACAGAAATGTATCCGACTGAAATATGTACATATATTTCAGGATGTGGTGCATCCCTGGAAATAATCACTTTGGATCTAAAATATCACTTTCCAGAAGAAAGAAAAAAGGATAAAGTGGTCTCTTGGCCCTGATAAGTTGTAAGATGAGCAAAGGGAGAGGATAAGTTGAGCCACATGGGGGTCAGGGACATCATTGTAATTGTGTTGCTCAAATGCAGGTTCACAACATTTCATTGCACTTAAATTGTGAAACATTGCAACTGTGTCTCCTAGTTGTTTCACATCAGTGTGTCGCTTTAAAGTCATCATGTTGGTCTTCATGTCCCTTGCCACCTATGGACTTCCCATTCTGTACCTCCCCCTCTGCTCTGACCAAATCCACAGGAGGAGCTAAAGCCCTGTCTGTCTTCCGTTTACAGAAGCATGGCATGATGGTTTCTGGCCTAAAATTCATTTTGGTGGTAAAATGTAAAAATGCAGTGTAGAATTACAGTTAAATAACACCTCATATTGTAACTTAAAGCTTACTTTTTTAAAACTAAAAATGCTAGCTGATTGGTTGTTGACTATTAAATTAATCGCCAACTATTTTGATAATCGATTAATCGGTTTAAATTGTTTTTTAAGAAAAAAAGTCACGATTCTTTGATTCCAGCTTATTAAATGTGAATATGTCCTGGGTTTCTTTGCACCTCTATGACAATAATCTCAATATCTTTGGGTTGTGGACAAAACAAGACATTTGTGGACGTCAGCCTGGGCTGGGATAAACACCGCTAAACATATTTCACCATTTTCTGACATTTTACAGACCAAACAAGTGATCAATGAACCGAGAAAATAATCAACAGATTAATAAACTATGAAAACAATCTTCAGTTTCAGCCCTAGTTCAGACTCATGACTACTTGAATGAAAAAAATCACTCTGAATGGCAAAAATCTGTTCTTTTAACGTAAATGTGCTCATCGCTTATTCCATGTGCCTCTCTCCATCACAGGGTGAGTAAAATGGGACTCAAAATGTGTGGTCACATGACCAATGTGGTGGCTCAACTTGTTATGTAACCCTAGATTGCTTTCATTGTTTATATTCATCTGTTTTAACTGTTTGTTTTATGTCTTTGTATCTACGTTCTGTTTCCTCCTCATGAATGGCAGTAGATTTGGCGGTGCACCAACATCATCTGTGATGCTTCAGACACTGAAGACTAACTGCAGACTGGTGCAAAGTGACACAAACATGACTGACCAGTTCACTGAAGAGTCTGTGATCCAGCTGGCTGTCAGTGAGGCTGAAGACGTGCTGCTGTGGGGGGGCGCTGGCAATGGATCGTAGTTTTGTACCCATGGCACCGTCCTTGGGCAGGTCTGAAAGCTTGATAGTGAACACCCTGATGTTGTGCCGTTTGGCCTCTGCAGCAGCTGTCACAGCGCTGGGGCTTCGTGGGTGATCCGATCCATCCACCATCAGCAGCGCCACCCTCAGGCTGCTAGAAGATGTCTCGCGGCTGAACACCTGGGTGGCGTTAGTGATGGCGTAGGCCGAGTAGGTGCCGTGGCCGATGAAGGTCATGGAGGCCACCCGGCTCTGGAAGACGTCCATGTCCTGCCAGTCTCTGAAGTTGTGCTCCACTGACACGGTGCTGCTGTACTGCAGCGCGGCCAGTCGCAGACGCAGACGCCAGCCGGCTGAATGGAGCTGCATGAGCTTGGTGCTGAAGCGCAGGATGAACTCCTTCTGTTGCTCAAAAAGCAGAGATTTGGCATTCTCTGAACTGTCCACGATGAACATGATCTCCACCGGGCAGATCAGGGCTAAGCAGGAGGCAAAACACAGCAGGCTTACACTCTAGAGTTTTTCTTAATCGCTGTGTCTCATTTTTTGAATCAGTCTGAACATTCTCTAAACTGTAAGCACAGTCGTTGCATGGGACATCACTACTCTTTTACATTTCAACAAAAGGTAGGTTTCATTTACAACCTAGTTACAGTGTCAGTAAATCAAAAGTGTTGTTTTGTCAGTGTGAGCAGGAGAGTTTAGTTTTTTCACCATGAACAGCCAACGTCAACCCTGGAAATGTTTCTTATATGCAAATCTCTGTTGAGTTCTACTTTTCTGTGTACACTGACTGCTCACCATACTAAAAAGTCAATACTGTACAGTACTGTAGTACACAGAAAATGGATAATGCACATTTGTAAGTATAAAGTAAATATATTTGTGTAGCAGGGTGTTACTGTAAGCAGAAAATTCACCTTTGACCTTTCATGTACAGGTGCATCTCAAAAAATTATAAAAATAAAATAATTTGAGCTGCACCTGTATTTTTAATACTGTAAATTACGTCAAATTTATGATTTAACTTAACTTCTCAGTCTTACAAACTCAAAAAGTCAGCCAGTGTTTTCTCAGCAACAATTCCCACACTTAGCCTCATGCTGACTGCAGTCATTTTCCCATGATTCCCATTCCACACTTCCACAAAAAAAATCCAAATAGTTTGAGCTGCACCTGTAAAGGCACATACAATGAATAAAAACGTTGCCACAAAATGACGTCCATGCCATCTTGTGCGTGTATGTCTTTTGACAAACATTTTGCACATGATGGCTCAGACATGTGCAAGTGGTTATGGTGCAAATTATAGACAATTGCTCTTACACTTTTGCACACGTGCCAAAACACATTTTTCACAATTTGCTTGAATGAATGAAAAATTCATTGTGACCAATAAACTAACTCATTGTTTCGAAACAAAATCTCATTCAAGAATTGAACCAAAGCAAATGAGAAAAACTGCAATAGCAAACATTTAGAGAGGTTTCAAGAAGTTGGTGTTCTATAAGTACGTTCTATCAAAATAGTTGCATATTTTAGAAATGTTAGACTCCATTGTCCAACCAGCAATGGTCCCTTCACCCATTCAACTCTCAAGAACAAGCCACTACTGACTATTTGGTATGAAATATCATGGTGAACAGATAGGGAATTTCTGATGACTTTGGTAATACACTGATCTGCCATCTTGTGCTACCATTGGGTCAGACTTTTTCCTGGACAAACCTGTTCGATGACAAGACATCTTGAAAACTAAACAACTAACAAGGGGATATCCAACAACTGAGCCAAGATGGCCTGATGTTACTGTTTGACATAACTTCAGACTAAAAAATGTCCAAACTCTCTCAAATCACATATGTTGGCTATTCTATGTGATCTCCTTCTGGTAGCTAATGTTTACATTGACGCTTTTATCCAGAGCAACCTACAATTGCTATACATGTCAGAGGTCGCACACCTCTGGAGCAACTAGGGTTTAAGTGTCTTGCTCAGGGACACAATGGTGGATGGGTCACAGTGGGGGATTGAACCCGGGTCTCTCACACCAAAGGCAGGCGTCTTATCCAGCACTGCCCCACCCTTAATGTAATAACTAACATAACAATGAGCCTCCTCTGAAACAGTTTGGAGCCCCCCCCCCCCCTTGCAAATGGCAACATTATGCAACTGTCAGACAATGAATTAAATCATTTGTGTCCCAAAACAGCATCAACTGTGCAGTCGATCATAGTGTTACAGTACACACTGTATTAACACACACTCCTTTAAATCCTGTAAAGCTGCACAGACTTCCATTCATTTTTCCTACAGTTAAATGCTGAAAGAAATTAGTTCTACTCTATCGATCTCTTATTAACTCTATTAATTCAAATCATTTTTGGACAATGTGATGTATAGCACTGATACATTTCATGGCTATTTAACACTCACTTTTGGTCTCACTAATGATGACTTCTCTTTGGCCTTTCCTCCTTCTGCTTTGGCATCTGGTTGGGCTTGACAGGGCCAAAGTCAGGATCAAAACCTTTAGGAGCCACTGCATAGTTATTGTTTAGTCCAGCTGCTAAACCTGGAAAATGAGAGAAATTGATATTAAATGTGGTAAATCATGCTGCTTTGAGACTTAATAATGGACCCTGTCAGTCCGCTGGCATCTGCCATGCAGGGTCACTCAAGCACAAACACTGCAATGATTTCACAGTGACACAAGAGGGAGACAAGACTGTAACAACTGCTGACAGATGAGGGTTGACTTCCTTCAGCATCCTATGGTGATGGCAGGCAGGCATTCAGATCACACAACTCAACTATGTGCTCATGTTGTGCTTTATAATCACAGCTGCTGTTTGACATTATCACTATCACCTCTTCCTCTGGGCTACATCTGCTGGAAGCTCTTTATACTGTAGTATTCATTTAATTATGGTTGCATGTGAGGTCATAGTGGAAAATGTTTCAAATCCATGCAGAGGACTGTTGATTTGTGACAGTATTGGATTTTTGCGTCCATGTGATGAAGTACTTTGATTTGTCAGGTAAAAAAGTTGATGTATTAGCCCAGAACAGAAATTCCTGTGTGGTTACCTTATCCAGACACTGAAAATATTGAGTTTGTTCCATAATATATATTGACATTGTGATATAGAGTTATGTAAACCATCTGCTCACACACATTTTTGATTGCCCACACATAACCACTACTATCACTATTGCTAATGCGATAACTACTGATAATATTATCTCTACAACACATTTTTACTACTACCAATTACTATTAAAACTACTGCTAATGCTATCCTACTACCACTCTGCTGCTGCCACTGACCAGTACTCCATATGAAATATTTGAATAGAAATTCAAAAAGGCAAAGGGTTTTTGAAAAAACCCAGTGTCCACATTAGCATATCAATGGCAGATTTTAATTACCATGAGACACGTACCTGTGTGTTATTAAAAGAAGAGGTCCAGGTCAGTCCATCAGTGAGGTGAGCAGGAGCTGCAGTGCTGTGTTCCCAGGCTGGTTTCTCTGTAGAGGCAGGGAGAGCCACAGCAACAGGTCTGGTTGTCACACTGGTGACAATTCCTGCACATTACAACAACTAAGACTTCCTCTTCCTCCCTTCACAATAAAACTTTACTTGAGCGACAAAGAAATGTTCGGTTAAAAGTGTAATTATTTTATATTTCGAGTTGTATTTCATATTTAATGTGCAACAAAAAGTATATTTTGAAATGTTATTTGTAGTTCTGTATAGCGCCTACACCTTTTTTGTAAATGATAGATTTTCTGCTTTTATTTTGGAGGCAATTTCAATTACTGAGTCTGATAAAGTCACTGGGAATGCACCTCTAACAGCAGAGACTGACTTTCTGGGTTTAAACTGTGAAGCCCAGCCAGTGATCATCAAAAATACCTACCCAGTGAGTAACTTTAATCACTTTTCTTTTCCCTCAAAGTCTTTAATTTACTCAAGTTTTATGCTGCCTGCTTCGATTTTTACTCAATTGAATTCAAATATATTATCAGCTAGTAAAAGGTGGGTAGAGTAAGTTTAAGTGAGGTTATTCTTCCTGCTGCATGGCTGTAGAAAAACAATTACAGTATTCAGTCAAAAGAACTTTGGAAGAATAATTTAGAAGTAAGAATATGAAATTACTCCTTTAGAAATAATCAAAAAGAAAAAGTCAGTACAAAGAAGTAGGCTAATTTTCATTATTTTAGAGTGTTCTATTGTTGTATGATGAATATTATTTAAATTATTATCAGTGACACATTAATGGATAATCAGCATAATGTTGTAGCTTTTTAAGGTGGAGTGAAGTTTAGCTAGTTTAGTCTATAACAATAAATCATATGTCATTTTCATAAGCTGAAATCTTCCTAAAATCCGTTAAAAAGTAGACCCATGTTGTCTTACCTGGCTCAAACTGCTGCAGTAGAGGGACCACGTTATTCTTCCCTGTTAGCTAAAGAATCCTGATGCTTGGAAGGAAATATGAAGAAGTTACCCCTTGATGACTGAATTTGTTTACTAAAAAAAAAAAAACTTATTTCTGTTTTCATTTGCTTTCAAGCTGATGTTAAATTAAGTGGAAATTGTTAATTTGTCTATAGAATATATATATATGAATTCAGGTATGATGTAGGTATGAGCAAATTAGTGACAATAGGCATAAATGAGAAACCAGTGCTTGCAAAAGGTTCCTAGGTATATACTGAATATGCGCAAACATTGGGGGAATTCATGCTCTATCTCAGCTGCAGTCTGAAAGGAAGAGGTCTGTTGCAAATTCACGACAATCAGCGTCAAGGGGTTAAATTATCTAAACATAATAAATAAACAATAACATTAATGAAAGTCTATATACCACAATCAGGGGCCACAGAAATTAAATCTTAAAAATACAACAGTGTGCATTCACTTTTTTATTTCTCATATGGGTTAATGTATCTATGAACAAACTGAATTCAACCAGAAAAATATGAAGGCTTTGGAAGGACTTGTGAAATTTAACAACTACAAATATCTCATATGATATGTTATATAACTCAAAAGTTTATTAACATATTTTGACTTAAGGCATAAGTAATAATGACTTATGGCATAATTGTTGTAGTGTCTAGTTTTGTTATAAACTTCTCATGTCCCTCCAAAACACAGACGAGGAGGGGCAGTGGCAGTAAATTCATATATCCATGTCAATACATTTAGAATTTATCTGATCTTGTTCAAAACACAGAATTGGAAGAGCCAACACCATGCCTTTTGTCTAATGGTGAACTCCAAAAAGTTTCCCTCTGGATGAAATCTTATTACAGCTTTTCTTTCCCCACATGTTTGTTTGTACCTTTTATGTGTGTTGATTTTGTCCCACAAACGTTTAAACAAAGCACTTGAACATCAACATTTTGATATCCTATGTGACATTTCATCAACTCAATTAGACCTGTGAGATTACCTTTATCATCACACAAAGCTGGAACAAAGATTGTACCCCTTTCAATTAACAGTAATATTACTGTTGTTTCAAATTATATCCTATGTGGTGCAAAGCTGTAAGCATAACACAATTTCCAAGACAGTAATCCATGCTGATGGAACTTTGAGAGTTTAGCCAGCAATTTAGAAACAGTAGTTCCCCCCGATTAGACTTTAAGCCACCTACATTTTAAAATATATTGTGTGGTATAAAATTCCATAAATCAATATAAGATTTCTAATCCTCCATCTGCTCGCTGATGATTCATTTTCTTACAGAACACATCATTAACAGAGGGGCAAAACAAGTGTTGATACACCATCATCCTTTGTCAAGAAACACTCTTCCAAAAATGGAAAGGTCTCTATGAAGCCGCATGTTAATTTTAGGGAGAAACTATGAATACTAAGATATTTAACACATTAATGAGACCAAAAGTGAGTTTGACAGGGACATTTTAGCAATAATTCTCTCCGCCTTTGTTACTTTTATCATTACATGTAATCATTTAATCCATTGTTGATAGAAAAATATTGACTAGAGCAACTTTAAGTACGTCTTTACAGTATTTTCATTGTTTTATTAAAATTATTTCACCCTTGCTGCAGGAAATGCAACTTGAAAAACTTTCTGACTTGCCTGAAGTCGCCTACTACTACTGCTCATCACCCACACGCTGAGAAACTACTGGTGATGATCCCTGTAAAGGTCATCGCAATTATCTTCCACTAGGGTGAAAACCCCAGGCAAAATGTGAGAGACTCTGCTCCTGAGCCAGGGTGGAAGACAGAACACGGAGGTAGAAGTAGGTCAGTGTCTGGTGATAGACCAAAATATATTTCATTTAGAGTGTGGGGGGGGGGGATACTTAGGTTTTAAACCGAATCTTTATGGAGTTGTATGCTGGGTGGCAACCTGAGAATGTTGAGCGGCTGTGAGAAACTGTACCTGGAGGATGTCGTTGTGAGAAACTCCTATTAGCTGCTTCCATAATTCATCCAGACAGGTGAAGATAAGGCCTCATGCCCAATTCCTACATAAATCACTGATGCGTCTGAGACCTGCCGCTGCTCTCAAGTTACCAATTATTTAATAAATATTACCTGGAACTTCGGAGAACGCATTACTTAAAAGAGCCTCTCTTTTCATTGTACATCCATTTGATACTTCTTAGAATAAACTCCACTCTAAACTGAACTCACACAAATTTAACACAACTGTAAAATACCACCAAAGTCAGAGAAAACTATTTGGCTCTTAGTCTTTGAATATTCCACTATGTTCATCAACCTGTCACTAACTTTGTCTGTCTGCTGTTTGGAACTGAGAACGCAGTGTACGTTTATTAGACATTTTCTGTTTAAAATAGCCACCTGCTGCTGCTGCTGCTGCTGCTGCTGCTGCTGGGAACAAGATTGATGAGAACAGTGAGACTGAAACAAATCAGTACAGCTGCCTGCTCTAAAAGCAAAACAATGAGCTGAAAGGCACAAAAAAGTTCTCGGGGAGCTGAGGGGTCTGGTGTTAATGCTGTGGATTCACCACTAAGGGCAACCCCCGTCACATTGCACACAGTGATTTGAACCATTCTCAATTATATCATTGTATTATATTAACCTTTACCTGCTTTAGTGGCACAGCCATTCCTGTGAGCTGTATCACATTGGTGAGATAAATACATCATCCTGTCATTGTTCTTGTCACCTTATTTCAAATGACTTATTCTAGATATCACACAAGCTTAAATGACATGCCTTGTTTAAACTAAATGTGTGTAACTTGTAAGAGCCAGTGGGCAGCGTGTGTGTGGCCGATGCCGCTGGCACTATGGGAAGAGACTGGCGGTAAAGCTGGCTGTGGCACACTGTCTGCAGACGGCTCTGTGTTAAGACAACACAGCCAGGCGGCACCAACTTCAATACCAGACTGCCAGTTTAGAGGGCGCTTCCTGCAGCAGTTCAACATATTTTGATAAGACCAACAGGCTTTTTACAGCACACGGCTGCACACCCAGACACTATCTGGACACAACCTGAGTACACTGTTAATGGTGGGTAGGA